CATTTTTAAAGGGGCACACTCAAAGCTAACCCTGATAATGTAAGCGCAGGGAGCCTAATGAAGGACACTATTGCGTTGCATTATGGGAAGTGTAGGATCCAGTGATTTTGGAGCTTGACCCGTACCTGGGACTAAAAGTCAGGACTTCTCTGCTTTGATTTTGACCTGTCTCCCAGATTTACGAAAGTGCAAATTGCACCACGATCTACAACGGTGACATGAGGTGGAGGCACGTGCACTGCGGGATGACTTTATACCAAAAATACACACGTGATTAAAATTAGCTGGGGACTGTTTATCTCCCTTCTCTACCTTCTGCCCTTTGCACTTTACATTTGAAGCAGCTAGTCGTGTTGACCTTGCTGTTGTGCTTCTGCTGCAACAGCATTGCCACCACAGGTAACAATCATCTTAAAGTGGACAACAAATTGTGAACTGACCATACCGTCTCTAGGTTTTTGAACGCACACAATAATATGATCAGAAGCTAAAATAATGGCGGCATTAGTAGTCTCACAATACCAGATGATCGGAGCAAAGTAGTTGCTTGAATGGCGGTGAGAAGAGCCACTAACAAACTTACTGTCCTCACTTCAAGGACACGCCATATTAAAGAATGCTTTTCCCCATTCTCCTCTGTAGAGAAACACGCTGGGGATATAGCAAATCACTTTGTAACATGGAGAGAGCTTTTTAAACCAATGAAAATGGATGTCCCAAGCAACATTATATGGTATTACGTGTTTCCAAGCACACAACGTCTGTATATCACTACCTTTGACTTTGGATTGGTTCTGCAACTGCTCATTCTCAGTCAGAGAAGCGTTTAGACACAGCTGTATTTCCCAATTTCTCTTGACAGTTCCACATTTTTGGTCTTGATATAAATTGAGGAAGGTACTTGCAAAGCAGGGTTTTGTAATGTTTGATTTCATGAACTAACTCTCTGATTTCAGGTTAATGCAAAAAAAAGAAAAAAGCTCAACATTTCAACTCAGTCTTACCTGAGCAGATAACACCAGCATCTTCACCATGGCCACAGTTATTTACCCCAAATCCTCTGTGTTCACACTTGAGGATGGACGACTCATGACCAACACACTGCACGTCATCCAACAAGATGTCATTCTTGCCCTCTCCAAAAAAAGCATTTTTTTTGGCCTCAAGAACTGTCCCACAGTTTAGCTCTCGACACACCACTTCAGCGTTGATAATGCTCCACTGATCATCACACACCGTTCCCCACTTGTCCCTGTAGTAGATTTCCACTCTACCAGAGCAACGTGATTCCGGCCTGCCACCCACCAGCTGAATTTTCACATTACATTCTGGAAATGGAAAAAATGAAAGCAAATTGTAGCACAATGTACTCAACAACATAAAAGGCAAATAATAAGTAATATGCATGGGTTTTAGGCATAAAATGTGAATACAGCTTACTGACCTGTAAGCAGTGGTAGACTCATAAGACCTAAAATATAGTGACATTTTTGGTCATGAAGAGATTATTTAATTTAGAATATTTAAAACAATATTGTCCTATAAATACATAGCATTCCGTGCTGCAATTTCTTAAATTTCTTAAGATAATTACATTTACATTTACCAAGATTGTGCAACATCAAACATCCGTCAAACGGATCATAGAAAGAACATTTTAAAAAACACAATTCTTGATACAAACTTTGAGACCCTCACTCTTTCGTAAGTATGCAAGCAAACTAGTTGACTATACTGCACTCATACCTTTTGAATTCAGAAATCAAGAATAAATTGGTATAAACAGAAACTCACCTAGTGACAAATAACAAACAAAATTTAGTTTTTCAGCAGAAAGGAAGACCATATTGTATCTTCAAAGTTGGTCAAATGCTGTCAAGATAGAGTAAAAATGAAAAAAGTATTGTTAATGTTCATTTAAAAAGGGTGCTGTCTTTGAGGTGGTGTCTGTCATTAGCAGAGGAACAAGAAAAGCTTGTTGATTTTTGTGAAGCAAACCTGTGACTGTGATTAAGTCGCCTTCTTACCTTTAAAATCCAACAAGCCTGGGCAGCTATTAAAATTACTTCACAATTCAAAATAAAACGGATGATCACATCTGAAACATCCAATGGACAGAAACTCTATGTACAGATCCAGTAATTTTTACAAATAAAAGCGCCTGCCTGGACTTGGACTGCAACCTGGATGCATGTTGACATTTTGATCAATCATTAAAGACAGAGGATGACAGGAGATTTCATTGAGTTTTAAACAATGTGAAAATTACTATTTGTAAAGACATCATATGCAACAGAATAACACACCCACATGTAACTTAATGCTGGAAAGCAGATGTACATGATAGCAACACTGATTTATGAACACAATAAATGATCAGCTGCAAAAGGAGAAAGTGAAATGTAGATCAAAGGGAGAGTTGTTATGAACAAATGTCAAGAGGTGAACCTGACCACTGACTGTTCCCTCCCACCTCTGGTTATCATTCACAGCATTAATTTAGTTTTAATTCCCAGCATTAATTGTCAATTTTTAAATGTGAAAAGATATTTTAAAAAGTATTTTTATAATTTTAATTGTGCAATTAAAATAAAAAAAATGTTTTGTATCCAAATCACTGAAATATCATATATTACATATCATTTTCTTACCTTAAAAGGGTTGCTGCAGTTTTTGGCATGTGAGAATAATTATGATATGAGAATCTCCACTGAGTCCACCGAGGTTTGTCCTTTCACAAACGTGTGACTTGACAGAACCTGTTCTTGTCCCTCATTTTATTGTCAATATGACTCATTGGGACAGGGAATAGCGAATACTTCCCCTTGTGAAAGTCTTAACCTCAGTAATTTTTTTCGACATTTAATCAGTTCCTGTTATGCACTTCAGAATTAACCCCTCAACAGAGTCTTCCTGTTAAGTTTCATGGGAGCATCCAGATTTTCTTAAAATCACTACTGGACCTTTGCAGCCACAGCTGATGCTGCAAGTAACCTATGGGGGTCTACTTGTTCTCAGACTGCCCCAAAAGAAAATGTGGAACAGCTGGATGAAATGTGTTCATATTTTATTTGAATTTTTGTCATAATTTGCCATAATTACATGATTAACTACTGTTTGCCTATTTTATGTTTGTTTAGGATTTTAGCTAACTACCATGTGTTATACTGTGGCATTATTTATTAGCAGATATTGTGTTATTTTGTGCATATGTCTTATGTATAGATTTTTTTTTTAGGGTGGCGTGGGTGGCTTTTTAATATCTGGCAAGGGATACAATAAAATAAATTGCATACATAGCAAGTAGTTTGAGCGGGTGGCTGAAGTGCACTGTTGCTTCAGTTAATTTTCCCCGCATCTTGTTCTTTTGCTCAGATTACATAGAAGCTGTTCGTGACATTGCCTAACTGACTTGTCTATTCAGCATTTTAAGTTGCCTGGTTTGAACATCTGTTCTGCAAACATAACGAATTTCCTGAGCTTGCCTCCGGTTACAGTTGCATATATCACCATTTCACTCATGACTTCCCCTTAATGCTGTAAGTTTGTTATTTGTTACATTATTTAATTAGTTTCAGCATTCTAATAAAAATAATTTTACCATTATCTTTTCTTACAGACTCACTGATTCAAATTAGCACACTTCCAAATTTTCCCAGTATATAATTGATAAATCAATTGCCTCATACCATACTATACAGAAGTAAGGCCATATTAATTTTCTAATATTTTTCATTAAAAAATTCAGTGTTATATTGGACATTTTGAGTTGAAATTTGAGTTTCCAAAAATGTTTTCAAGTACAAGTTTTCAAGACATTGGTAGATGCTCTCAACTTGTTTTCACTCGTCAGAAATTATTTTGTTTGTGACAGTAAACAAGGGTTGATTAACTCAAAAACTCACTAATAGCTTCAAGGAACCCGCTAGCCTAGCAACATGAAGGATACAAACAACCCATAATGCAACATTCTCTGCAACATGACTTGATAAGCCACAAAGGTTGGGAACCAGTGATCCAGAGAATAGAAAAACAGCACGTCTAAAGGCTCTAAAAGTAGTGAAAAGAGTAATAGGCCCAGTTACTTCAGTCAGTATTCTCTAATGACAGAACTGAGGATACCGAGGTTTGCACAGCAGGTTGAGCACATATTGATGTCTGGGTAAATCATTACAAACGAGTTATGCATCATTCTCTGATGGGAAATGACATTACAACTCATCTGGGTCAAGGGCCTTGAAAGGTCCTTTTTTGTTCACTTTTTTTTCAGGAGGGATAGCTTATCAGGAACAGCATTGCCATGTTGTTGTTGCCTATCAAGATGCACTTTAATGATACAGAATGTCACATAAAACATGATTACAGCAAGATATTTCCACACGTGTGCGCCTTTTTGAGTACAAACAAGAAAGCAATCTACCAACCACTGAAGTTCGAAATATCTTAAAGCACAATCTGTGTATGACTAGACAGGACTTTGTTTTGTGGAACTGTATATTATGATTTGTCATGTGGCCATCTTGGCTGATGTTGCCTTGAGTCTACTGTAAGCCCACATTGGCTGGGCACCATAGAAATGCAGGACACTTAAATAAATAAAATCAATCAATCTACCATAGAAGTGGATAAAAACTTTTTACTGCTGTTGCTGTATTTAGGAAAGAGACATGCAGGGATTTAATGGTTTTAATAATTAATAATGACTTACCAGTAAGTGTATCTATTACTTAAAATTAACTTAATTTTCCGTCTCCTTCCATTGCCATTCCTCACCTATCCACTAGCTGCCACTGCAGAGTTGCCCAGTCCTGTGCACCAAATGTCCCATGCAGCAACCTCCTCACTCTTACTTATTTCTCCAGTCTTGTTTCTCTTCTGATGGCCCTTTGTCTGTTTTGGACTTCTGCTCGCTGTTTGAGTTTTACTTGCCTGATATGACCACTTTCCTGCTGCTTACTGTACAGCTGCTTTTTGAACATAACGGTGGGTCTGACAGGTGGTAATGTTCATACATTGAGTTTATTCTGACACGTTAGGTATGATGTGCCTGCATGATAAGTCATAAGCAATACTGGAAATTAGTTTTTTCTCTTTCAGTTGGCAACTTGGGTTTTCTGCATCAAAAAATAAAATGACCACTGCTACTTCAGAGTAATCCTTTCAAGACAAAGGTGTCAATCTTTACATCCGACAGTTATTTAGACACTTCAAATATTTTAAGAAAAAAATCAGTTTAATCGCTTTCTGAAGCTATTTTTCTTTGCAGTAGCATTATTAAAACAATAACATGCACATGAAAAATACAGAGGCAAATGTACTTTAGATGCTGTAATATGCTTGTGTCAAATACAAATACAGTGAAGTGTCATTGAGTATATGAGCCTGTAACAAACAGAATACCACCATTTACTGCAACACAGGCAGAGAGGTGCAACATATAGTACATTTAGTCAGTTTGTGGTCTAAACAGTCTTGTTAGTATCCATTCACAAAACATCACAATAAAGTCAAAGTCATCACATGATCAGACAATAAATGAGGATGTGATAGCAAAACAGGAATTTTCTTAGTGTTGAAAGAAATATACAGAGTATGATGTCCCCTACATGATTTGAAATAAGTGAAAATGATATGTCCTTTCGTGATGGCACAACATTTAGGGAGGAATGGCTAGTGAGGGTGTGTCTGTTTGTGCGCGTCCTTCATGTGTGAATATAAAGGAATTAGTCAACCACCCACCCATGATAATTTAACAAGGATGCTCAGTGTTTGGTGTTTGGGAGAGAGAACATAGAATACATATTGGAGGACAGGAGCGTACAATTCAGTATCTGTTTACTCATACACCTGGAAATATATAGAGAGAAGGAGATGCACAGCAGAGGAAGCTGGGTCTGCTCTGCCACTATGAGCAATAAACTATAATGTTTCTGTCAGATAAGACTCTGAGTAAAGATCTGTGGAGTGTACCGTTGCAGCTCATGTGACCCTGATGTAACCATGCTTCATCTACAGCAGTCTTGATTGGAGGATAAAGCTGGTGATGATCTATAATTTTCCTGTTGTCAACAAATCCCTCGAAAGAACCAAAACCAACAATGAATCTATCTTTTTTCCCTGTGCCACAGAACTCCATTGTTGCGCAAAAACTATTAAATACACATAATGAGCCACACCATTGGACTGGTTGACATGTTTCTACATTATAATGAACTTGGGCACTGTAGTTTATTTTGAGTCAGTACCACAAACACCATGATCAGCTGCCAGAAATACTCATTAGGGCATCAAATGTGTTTTAATTCACGTCTGAAAATAGTCCCAAACTAATTAGATATTGACTCTTGTATAACGTTGTCCAGCTATTTTTAGGAAATGACTTGAAATAAAACTATATATCTGAAACCTGTTATTAAAATCTTTCGTATTGAATGGAGCACCACAGTACCACAGACTGTGGTAGGGTAGTCAGAATGTACTGAGAGACAGATTAGCACATTGTTGGTTTTGGTCTTTGTATTAGATTATTAGACAATAAGAAATATATATGTAATAATGCCAACCTTTTGCCTTAAGCAAACTGGTTTGGCAGTGGAATGATAAAATAAGTTTGTTTTATGTGACAATAATATTAGGTATATTTTCTATCCCTCATATGTTTTAGGATTATTATATATTATATATTTGGTCTCGTCTGATTTGTTGTAAGCTGCTACTGTCACCGTCACCTCTGGGAAAGCATCCTCACTCCCACACAAACGCACACACACTTCAAACACACACAGCCAGACATGATGGCTAGGGCTCGGGTTGTTTCAGGTTGCATTAAGTGCTGCCTCCTCTTAGCTCCCTTCACTTAACAGTGCCTTCATTAACAGCTGCTGATTGAGATATATAAACACACACTAAGGCATGTACACACACAATATTGGTGTGTATTCTGGTGACTTGTGCCTGATCAATTCTTCCCCATCCACTGCATTGTAGATTGACCTAAAGCAACTGGGCTACTGATGCAAAAGCTGCTACATAGTCTTCTAGTTTGCACAGAATTGATGCTACTGACAGCGTTTTGTCACAGTGTGTTAAACATAAAGAAGCAAACACAAATGCATCCATCATAAAGCCCACTTCTTCTTCTAAAGAAGAAGTTATTACTTCTTTGTGGCCTCTTGAGAATCAGACACTTCTTGGATGTGATGGTGGAATGTCATTTAAAGAGTCAGGAGAGGTTGGCCAGGGTGAAATCCGTGGGGTCTGATGTTTGGCATCATGGTGGCATCGAGCAGAAGGAACACAGGAAGTGATGCCGTTTATGTCCTCATAATTTAAAGGTGCCCCGGACGTCACATACCAGCACTTCGATCTAGGCTATGACTCAGAATCCTAGAGATTGGGTTAAGAAGGGAATTGAACAATTAGTATCTAACTTCTCCTTAGATGTTCTAGATCAGTGGTTTTCAAACTTTTTGTGCCCAAGGGAAAGCCAAAATCTCATGGCACACCTGTATTCATATCTTCATTTGTATAGTTGTATATTATAATAATAATAATGTATCATTGTCACAAAATCCCACGACACATCTGGACTCGCAGCACACTGTTTGGGAACCACTGTACTAGAAAACACATTGTATTCTAAACAGGAGCATTTCCAATACTGCATGTATCTGCAACATCCTGCTGTTTATATGTAATCTGATTTTTTTAAACTGAGTTATCCACTTAACCTCTAGAGGAGGGACAGGAAAAGGATGCAACCAGGGGGAAATCAAATGAATACTCTTTAGTGATGAATGGAAATAAGATCATTTCATGTTTGACATTTGGACCATCGAATGGTCCCTGTAATTACTGTATTCTTTCAGAAGCACCAACGTAATCCAGTTCCAGTATGACACTCTACTGTGTATTGTATCAAATTCTAAAAAGGATCTTTGGCAGACACAGCATGTAAATCTTAATATTTGTGAAACAGATTAAGGGGAGTCCACTGAATCTAGATGTATGGGATTTACTGACTTCTCTTTTTTCTCTACCAAAAAAAGCTTATGCATGGAATACCAATAAGACATAAATCAAAAGTTTCAGCTTGTACAAAGTAGCGCTGCTGATCTAGCACTGTGGAGAAATGGTGCAGTGTTTAGTGTTTGAGGAAGTTGGGATTGACAGCAAACCTGGTTGGCAGTATGATTTATACAACAGCGACAGCATTTTGTGTCTCTGTCTTCAGTTGTGAATGCATGTATTAGTGTTGTGCCACACAGCCAAAGTGCAGATACACTCTCCCTTACTTTCACTGAGGGTTGGGAACTGAGCCCAAGGAATGCAAACACAGTGTTGTTCTCCTTTGACTGGAAGAAGTCTTCATAGTCCTGAGGGGAAAGACAAAAAATGAGGATGTTGAGTGTTACATAATCTCTACAAGTCTGAAAGATGGTTGTAAACATCCCTGCCAAATAGTCATTCTGCTGCTGCTTTTAATATAATTCAATGGCCATGAGGCCCATGACATTGCAGAGCAATGTTGGATTACCTTGGCCAGTGAGAGTGACGGCATGCAGAGCAGATAATCTGCCCCATCCATGAAACTGGATTACGACAGGATTACAGAGTAGCATGCAAGGCGGAGGACATAAACTGGCAAGCACTTACTGATCGAACTCACTCTCCAGCAGAGTTAGATCAACCTGATACTGACTTACATTGGCGTGGACTTTTGGTATAACCATTTTTAGCATTAACAATAATTTCTGTATATTAAAACTCAATCTAATAGTCTCACCGATAAAATAAATTGTGTTTCTGTGTTATATATGTTAAATTACTGTATCAAAATCATGTTACAATGTTGTTGATGAATCATTTGAACTCGGCGACATGCATGTATCCAATCAAATGTGATTTAGAACTACTAGCTAACACCCATCATATAAAACAACACTTGACATTAGCTTGGAGGGTCATAGTAGCTAACAGAGAGATTTTATGGATCAGTATGTTTGAATCTCAGATCTCAAACCTTGTTTACATTTCCAAAGAATATGGTTGAGGTCCAATTTATTTATTTCTCCCTCATCCCCCACCTCCTGAACTACAGTAACAATGCGAGTTAAGGAGGCCAACAATACGGTGCTTGCTACAGCTCCCTATGACTATGTATCTGCTAAACCACGCACACTTGATCTGATCAAGGATTTAATTTCAAATCTGTCTGACAACTAAACCTTGCACACATATTCTGTTTTACCAATACATACATCACATTACTGAAGAAAAAGATGCTCCAACTACCATTTTACTGTGACTTTAGAAGTACCCTCTGTAGATTTTAACTACTGGGTTCACTGTAGGTCCAATAGTTTCATCAATATGTCCATGAACACAGGGCGATATGATGAATATTTCTTTTGACTCCAGACTATAGTGTATAGTGTTCATAGTATAAGGAAGCAATAGGCAAATGAAAGTTTTTGCACATATTTCATGAGATTGGAAATGTATGGTTATAAACAGTAGAAACATCCATCATACCCCACAGTAGCGATCCTCATTGAAGATCTGCGGAGGCACTGGGTTGCCTTTCTTCGGCTGCTTGTCTTTGGGGATGTTACGGTACATCCAGAGCCTCTGCTCCTCCAACATGGTGATGTCTACTTCCTGGAAGCTGATTCGATTGGCCTCTAAGAAACCCACCACTGACTGCTGATACTTCTTTACCTGGAGAGGTAGAAAATGTATAAAATAAAGAAAGAAAGAAGGGTAAAGGGTTGGTTTGGGAGAGGTGGAGAGATGGTCAAGCAGAATGGAGTATATACATAAAAAAGAAAAAATTACAATGACTTTGCTTGTCAGAAATGAGCTAAAGCAAAGCTTATATTGTCTTCAGTATGCACATGTGTATATAAAGTACCACTGGACTACACATACTACTACTACTGTATGTGTGTATGGCATTTGCCCTGTCTCTGTATACTGCTCCTGTAATATCAAACGGTAAGCTGACACCCATCGAACCAGAGTAGGGTTTCTCTCTCACTGATACACACACATGTGGAGTGTACTATATGTTACTTCACTGCATACTCTATTGTAACGGGGAATTTCGAATGATTATTGATGAGTGGAAGAGCTTAGGTTTAAAATCGGAAAGCTGACACACTGTTCCTATACAGTAAGCTATGATCACATCAGGATAGAATAGGCTGAAATTAACAATCATCATCAATTGTTAAAAGTAATACATCAGGATGTTTCATGTTTTCTTTGCCATCTGTGGTCAATAGGATGGATGTAACTGCTCTCTGTGGTATTGTCCTATGTGCTCTGGGAAACTCTGTTTCCGAGTGAAAGTCTGTGACAGTGTTTGTGAATGCTGAGAGAAAAAAAAAAGTTCAAGGATAATTTTAGATGACAGAAAACTCCCACGGACAGGAAGGTCATAAACAAATTAGACACAATCCACATGTCTCAGACCTGCAACTGTTCAGTGTCTCTATCCTCTCTGTCCTCATGTTCTACACTAATGAAAATTAGCAACTATGACTAGAATAATAATCATTATCAAGGATAAGTTTTGTTTTGAGCCCCTTTTCACTTCTTTTTCATTCACATTTAGCTTTTATTATTTCTATGTATGCGCTAAGCATTCATTACCATCACAAAGGGGCTGATTATTCAAAAGAAGTTAGGGGGAAGGACATTGTGAGCTAATATAAACAGGGGCTTTTATTTTGTGGCTGAATACTATCTATGTAACTATGTATCATCCAATGCCGTTTTTAGGGAATTCTGTCTTTGATGGAGAAGACAAAAACAAAAAATGTAATTAAATGATGAAAATGTAATGGTATCTTCCCTGATTGTTGTGTATGTGTATACAGCACGTGTAATATGCGTCCATTGTTTCAATGATGGCCACAATGGAGCTATTGTTTTACCATTAAGACAGTAAGGGGTTGTTCTGGATTGTCTATTATAGACACACACCCAAACAAAAGATAATCGTTTGGGTGTTTCTTACAGGGATTCTCTGTGCGTGGCCATACAACAGCTTTATCTGGACTTGCATGAATGTAAATGAACTGCAAGGATACCAACTGTAAAGAGAGACTTTAAAGAGCAAAATGACAGTTTGTTCTGCTCAAAGTTTAAAACTCCATATGTGCACTGTCAGTTTCTGGTCTGAGTCTATACTCTATATCACATTGCTGGTCTCCAACATAGTTCAAATGATATGACCTTCCTGTGAGCAGAAAGCCAGGCAGCATGAGTCTAAATAATGAAAGAGGTGCCCCCTGTGAGGGTGAGTGAGAGTGCATATCAGGGGATGGGTGGGTTCAGATTTTTATGTGTGTGTGTGTGTGTGTGTGTGTGTGTGTGTGTGTGTGTGTGTGTGTGTGTGTGTGTGTGTGTGTTTGTGCATGTAGGATTAAAGACATACAAATACTCATTACAGTATACGAGTATGCATGCATTGTTTGAGAGCACTTTCTGAAATGTAGGGATTAACTGAAGGTTAAGAGTAATCTTTTAGTCGTGGACACAGAGAGAGACACAAGGAAACAGATTTTGAGATAGAAAAAAATACATAAAGTACACTTGAACAACCAAAAAAAAAAAAAGTTTGTATCATTTTTATTATATATATATATATAATACAAAATAATACAAACTTGTGATTGTTGCTGGATATTATAAGATTTTGTCCCCCTCTACTTACAAATCTGTTTTTTTCTTGTTCCTACAGTTGGATGTTTGAGCTTCACTGTGCAGAATGATGCATGAGCATTGACAGAAGGATGTTTTCACATTCATTTTTATTATCATTTATTTATGTATTTATGATTTTAGAGGCGGGGCCAATGACCATGATTTGTGACAAATAGTTTGGAAGTCCACCATGGTCCAGTATCCAACTTCTGTGATGTAGAAACCTAAATCACCAGTGCACATACACTGAGAATGGACTTTACAGTGAAGTAGAAGACATCTTGTGTCCAACCGGACAACTTGAGAAATGAACAAAATTAGCATATTCATAGATTCTGTAATTTCTAATGAGGTAGAAGGAGTAAATGCCTTTTTAAAGGATATTTAAGCCTTGCTCAACTCCTCTTCAAAAGGAGGTGGAATAGGAAAATATTTTATCTCAACTTTAGCACTACAAACTACTCTCAACTTGCATTGCACATATTCTGTCAAGAGGAGGGATTACTATACTTTCTAAATATACAATAATTTCTTAGATCAGATAATGTGACGATACGTTGTGGTGATTAATAAAGTTAGATAAAGATCATTAAGGCATTAGGAATAAATAAAAAACAGCAACAAAATGTAAAATACATATCCTCTGTGGAGGAGGGGTTAACCTAATTTGCACTTCATTCATTCTGTGATGATGTTTTCCGCCCCATTAATCTGCTGTTGTTAAGCTGTGAACTGCTCATTTTATGGGGACACTGTAGTGGTTTGAATATTACTTCCCCCTTGAGTGTGTCTTTTGCTGCTCACATATTCCTGTCCGTTTTCCAGAATTCATCCACTGACCTTCACAGTATTATTGTCTTCTTGCATTTCTGTCTCACACTGCTAGAGTATCTCTCTTTTTGTAAGACTTGCACACATTCATTTCCCTTTAAATCAACTGAGGGGATCCAGCCTCACCTTTCCTCTTTATTCAATCACTTGTAACTCAATTCAAAAGCATTCAAAGTGAATTACATTCACATGAGCTCCACACTCGCATAACTGACCTAAATGGTGGACCTATTCAAGCATGCGGGGCTGTGCTTTGTGTGTCTGTCTGTGTATATGTGAGTGAGAGAAAGAGAGTGTGTGTTTTGAATGTATGTGTCATAGAATTAAAAATAACTCCTTTGTAAACGCTCAAAGATTGTGCTGCCCTCCTCCACGGATGGAGCATGATAAAATAAATATATTACTCACTGGTCCCATTACTGAAGACTTCAAGCATTCACGCAGGAGTGTTGTTTGATGATTTTCTGCTCATACTCAATATCAGCTGGGCCTTCTCAATGGCGTGTGTCTGGTTTCCCAAGAAGGACTACATGAAGGGGGCTGCAACTAACCATTACATGTTCATAGTGGATTTAACCGTCTATTATGTTTTTGATTTGTTGTTACATCTATAAAATGTAGGAAAAGTGTGACACTTTTAAATGTATTTTTCCTGATAAACAATTCAAAAGATAGTCAATATACAACATAAAAAAATATATATTTTCTGTTGATCCACAAGTCAATTAATCTTTACAGCACTACACAAGAGCCATAGTAAATGACCTTCTAATGAAGTACACTGGCATATAGAGTAAATCAGTCTTGGAGTAGGCTACGCCCTTCAGCATAACACTGCTAATGCTCAATTGTTGGAACAGCTCCCTAGAGATTCTCAGCTTGAAGTTGAACATCTCACAACACAAATAAGAGCTTACTCCAAAAAAAGGAAAGAAGCACTGATCTAGAGATGCACCTCTACCTGCTCCTCCTGATGATAAAGTAAAAGTGAAAGCCTGAGAACATTGCTTCGGTCTATTTATGGAGTAACATTACTCTTACTGAGTATATGTCAACTATCACAGGATCTCTTGTCACAAAAAAGTGTGAATCTTAGGGATTCAACTGTCATTTTTGATGTCATAGTTAATATAGTAAGGTGTTTCTGTTATTTTGTCCACCCCTGAACATCCTGAGGGAGTGTAAATGGACCAATCAGGGCTTGTTTGCACATCAAATACGCACTTTGTTCCACCTGAAGGAGGAGAAATTTGTAATTTATAACATTATTGATATATAACTCAACTGTAACAGGCTGAACCGACACATGCCTTACCCAGAATACACCAGAAACCTAATAAAAAACGTGCATCTTAGTCAGTGAGTGACCTGCCTACCTGTCTGAATGATGCTGATTACTTTCACTGCTTGTGAACAGTCTGAAGTCGATGACCGCCAACACTCACAGTCCAGTTACATAATACCAATAAACACGGATTTGCGAGCTGAAGATTTAAAAATGTTGTAATATGACTGCATTCCTTTCATGCAAGTGTCAACAAGCTTGAAAACATTTGCGAACACTCACCGCGACAGAGCCAGTTGAAGAGGCGATGTAAACCTTGATGACCATTTTAATCCCAAATTAATGTCAGACAGTCGACAAACAAACTGTCTGCTGGCAGCGACTCGCGTTTATTTCTTTAAATAACAAGGAGGGACTTTAAACTACAGGCTGTGCTTCAGATGAGGGAACACACGCCTCTCCAATATTTAAACTGAGGCATGATAATAAAACAGCGTGCGTCTCTGCCGACTGTGGCGCTCACCGATCCTCCTTACACACATCCAAGAGACATCACATAAAACACTTCCGGTCGTTGTTTTCAAAATAAACAAAACAGACGTCAAACAACGTGATTGCTCCAGGGGGGAATATGGACCAAATCTGACGTCCGGATAAATATACCGGAGTTTAAATAGTTTTGTATGTACTTTTAAGTGTAAATCTGTGTGTTTCTGATTTGTCTATGTTTCTCAACCAAGCACACTTAAATATTATTTGGTCAATTAAAGATGTTATTTTATTAATGGGCTCTTTCCAGGGAATTTCTGTACACTATCATCTGCTTTTACGTAGATCCCACAGACATAATTATAGTGTTAAACGTTACGCTACTTTATTTTGAAAAGAAAAACTATTTCCACGTATACTTCTGCTTGACTATGGTTATGTCCGGCAACTTGACGCAGGTAGCCTCCCCAGACAGTGTCAGGTGGCTGCATTGGGGATTGATAACAGGGAAATGTAGTTCTCAGGATGCTGGCAGCATTTTGGGAAGTAAGTGGTGAGTTGGTCTGTCCAGTTTTCAGCATATCCCAGATTTCCATCACATATGGTGAATTTAGGCAATCCACTGTGGTGTGGATCCAGATTCAGCTGCACTTATATTAAAAAAGTTGGCGATGTATCCACTGACTGTTTATCACTGTGTATTTCTTGTTGCAGTTAGGTCCAGATACTGTCAATGGTCCATGTAGAGATGAAAGTGCAACAGGATATGCACCATTGATGGAGGTATGCATTTCAGTACATACTACTGCCAATAAAAGAGCTGACAGACTGTATGCAGCACATCATTTATCTTAAAAACATCATCACAATTTCAATATGCATTGCACAGCAAAGATAAACAAACCACATAAGCAGATGGCAGATGCAGGGACTATTGCATGCTACAGATGGCCAGATACCACGTGTTGCATATATTTCATGACATATCAAACACAAAGCATTGTGTGCATGCACATTGCACACATCCTAAAAACCTTTAAGTGACTATCAGAAAGCAGGATAATGACTTTAATACTAAGCAAACACGGTGCCAGGGTTGTAAATTCTCCTTTATTAACACAATGCACAATCACAACACCGACTACAGCGCCACTGTGGTGGCAGAGGGGTACTGCAGGGAGTGCTGCGGTTGCCATGGTGCGGCGTCATCGTAGGACTGGAGCAAACCTCGAGGCGTGGACTAAAAAAAAAAAAACACTATCCTGACGACCAGGATTACTCCATCTTATTCTGTGGATAATTACAGGACGGCGCATTGTTAAACAATAGTCATGACTGTTTCTAAAAGAGGACGGTCGACTGTGCCGTTTTATATGTTGCTGTAACGGTTGCTAAGCTAGCTAAAGTTCGTGCTAGCTTGCTAGTAGTTGAAGCTATCTTAGCTATCATTCGCCGACCGAGTCTAGACAAGAAGCTGGTAATCGCTACCAAGTTAAGCGTAAACCAGACAGAGCCGGCGAGATTTAAAGGAGTAACTGTTAAACGCGGGAAACGGACAGGTTGGTGCCAGTAGACACCGAGCGGTAACGTTAAAACACATCCCACCTGTTGGTGGTAGTTTTTTGGTTGCTATGCTAGCATAATAAGCTACCATCAATCAGTCAGTCCTCCGTCGCCGTTAGCTTTGTACAACTCATCATGGGCTAATGTTTGCTAATGTCAGCACGATGAGATGCTGTGTGGACTGTCGCCTACTTTCCTCACTTAATTTGTTCACCTCTGTTTGAGAATGTTTCACACGAGTAAATGGCCTGCTGAGACGTGTGATTGGCTTTATGTAACTTACTGTTAGCTACACTTCGTTGGTTTTTTACTTGGCAGGCAGTCTCACAACAATGCACCTGTCAACAACAGACGGTCCATTTTAATCCAGCCTGTTCCTGTCAGAGAGAGCGAGCCGGGGGAGCTAGTGTGTTTGCTCCACAGCTGTAGTAAACCCTTGATAACACGCATCTGTTTGTGTGTTTGCTTTCACCAGGGTGCATGGGTTCAGCTGATCTCGGTTTTCTAAATTAAGCCTTATCAGGAGCTTCCCGAGCAGAAAATGTGAATGATGGCAACAGGGATGATGAGGATATGATGTGACCTATATGGTGAGTGTTCATTTATATGATTAAATCATGGCTTTTTGGTCATCAAAAACACATAACTGTGATGGCACTGAAATTGTGAAGTAAATTAGTTTGAATGAACAGTCTTTATTACTGTATGTTTATTAGTGTGTAGGCTGTTTTTCTTCATAATAATTAAAGAGGAGAAAAAACATTACAAAAGAGCAATTTTTACTGTTTTAAAAGACGGATTGTCTTCAGGTGGAGGACCTTTCTGTCTTGCCTGACCTACAATTATGCTCTCTTCCATATATGGTGATGCCACAGTGTGTACTGGTGTTGCCATAGTACTTGCCCATCAAGTGATTCTGTTATTGTCAGGGCTGATCAAAGAGCCGGATGACTGCACGACCTTTACATGTCATTAACGCAAATATTAAAGAGCGAACAGGCTCCCCAGTTGGATTCTGTGTTTATTCTTCAAACTAGTCATGTTTGATCCCTCACCAACAACAACAAATACAATCTGACTTTTTCATTTTGTTTATGTTTCTAACACACGGACTAAAAAAATCTGTGGGGAACTCTCTTAATTATTTGTTAACTAACAAAATAATGTCAGAAGATTTCTAGATTTAATACAGTATATAGTAAAGCTGTGCATACAATATATATAGGATATGAAACACAATCTATAATAAGTAGTAGAATAAATAATAAATAATAAGTAGAATAAAAATATCAGCTGAGAATACCTGAACACTACTTTTATTTTATTTTCTCCTCTATTTCTGTATTCTTTGTGTGTGTGTGTGTGTGTGTGTGTGTGTATCTTATTACAGACAGAATTGATCATCTGGCTGTTTAATAAGTCACCAGGGCAGAAGGGGGCAGGCTAGCATTTTGTTTGTAGCAGCAGTGGTGTGTAATAGTGATATCATACATCATTCAGCCTCATGGAAAATTCCACCTTGTGTGTTGTCGCTTAGTGACCAAGAAACACAAAACGGAAAACCTGAGAGAACCACTTGGCCTAGCCAACTGTTTTGGATGAATTTTGAGAATTTCCTTCTGGGTTTCACCGTACAAATGCAGAAGTCAGTTTGCCAGTCTGTTAAATCAGGTAAGGTATATCCTGTACAAGAAAACCACTGTTACTGTTCAATTGTAACTCAGAAAAAATCATGTAATTCAAAAGTCTCATATGTTTCTTTCCTTCCCTTTTTTTGTGTTTAAATTCAACGCAGCATTTCTTTTCAAAGTGACAACATGGAATCTGAAAGCATAACTGACCCGTATGAAGACAACCGGGATGTCGATCAAAGTCGGCAGTCACAGCGGAGTACAAAGAAAGATTCCCAAGAATCATCCAATCAAAAACAGAAAAAGAACTTCAGGGACAAGATCAAGGACGAGGATGAAAAAGACAGCTGTTCTGACAGTAGATCGAAAACCCGAACGTGGCGTTCGGATCCAGACCGGGACCAGGTATCCGATGGAGAAGGAAGGGGAAGTAGTAGGTCCTTTTACTCAGAGGACTATGAGAATGAGTCTCCTTCAGAGGGATCGCTCTCACCATACTCCCAGTCCCGGACTCCATCCCCTATCCCTAATAGAGGGGTACGGGTGAAGAGGATTTCTAACAACCCCCTCTACAAGACAGGTATGTAAAGCAAGGAAGTGATCAAGTATGGATGGATGAATGAATGAATTAAACTTAACCCTTGCTGTTTAAATGTGCTGTACTGTCCAGGTGATGGCAGTGTAAGGCAGATTTTCAGCAGAAGGACAAAAATCCACTCTTTTAGTCATGGATTCAGATTTGAATCAGCAGGTTTTTCCTGAACTTTGATTCACGAACTCAGTTGTTATACACAATAACTTTGGAATATTCTAAAAAACATTTACCACATGCTAATTATGTTGTTATGAGTATTGTTTTATTATAAGTTTGATTTTGATCCGTCTTTAACCTCAGCCTCAGTTTATATTCATCCCTACTAGTGCACTTATCAATGTGCTTCAGTAATGGCCTGTAAAGGTGTTAAATGTCCTTACCTTTAAATAATTTCTACCTTGCAGGCGTTGTGGGGCGCAGGGGTGTATCTCGCCCACAGCGTCCAGGTGGCCAACCCCTGACCCAACAGCATCGCAGGGGAGTGCGTTCACAAAGTAAGGAGTCCACACCCCCTAAAGACTTGGACCTGGTCACAAAGAGGATGCTTTCAGCCCGCCTGCTGAAGATCAATGAATTGCGTAACACACTTGCTGAGCTGCAGCAGCGCACTGACGAGCTGCAGAAGGAGAATCGAATTCTCAGACAGGTAGACCTAACTCTCTAGTTAAGTTTAAAATAAATCACGTTATATTTTATCTTTTTAAAAATCTTTTTCTTCCTCATCACCTTGAAAACCTGTGGCACCCTAAAATTTTATTTCCTCTCTCCCACGCTGCAGCTTCAGGTACGTCAAGAGAAAGCCCTGCATCGCTACGATGACACAGAAAGCGAGATTTCCCAGCTACTGTCACGCCACAACAACGAGACCCACGTGTTGCGTGAGCGGCTCAGGCGTACCCAAGAGCGGGAACGGGCAGCTGAGCGGCGGTTGAAGGACAGCGAGGAGCAGCTGCAAAGGAGTCAGTCGACCATCGCACGCCTGAAGAAGCTGGTCGACCAGCGAGAGTTAGGAGCCAGAGACGAGCTCAGTCGCAAGCTAGAGGAAGAGAAGGCACGGGCCCAAGTGGCAGAACAAAAGATTAAGGTACATTTATTTTACATATCATTTATTTGTTATAAAGCTCAAGTGGGTAGAATGACAGGACCTTATACACAAGTATAGAGGAGTTTAGGCAGTTTTCAGATTTGATAGAATTTGCACTACAATAGACTATTTCACCACATAATCTTTTCTATGTCTTTTTGAAATGTGGCTTATAGATTCAAACAAATTATTGGTGTCTGGTTTACAAGGCTATACTGTAGTTAGATAAACAATCACTTGCATGTAATACGCAATACACACGCTCATTTGCATCAATTTTGTATTTATGGACTTCTGACGTCAATAATAAAAAAATAATATCAAACTTGAGTTCCCTTTTTGTCATGCGACAGTTGTAAAGTGAATTTGTTTATCTGTGTGTGTTTGAAGGAGCTGGAGCGTAGCATGGAGCTGAGCAACAGCAGTTACCAGAGGCAGCTGGCTGCAGAGAGGAAGAAGACCATCAGTGCCCAGGAGGAGATCAGGACTCTGCAGGAGGAGCTCGAACGACTGACCAATAAACTCAAGGTCCATATACACAAAAATATACTAAATCACCCTCCACTCAAAAATACATTTTTCTCCTCGTTCCTGCCTATGTTTGAGCTTTACTGTGCAGAGCGATGTGTGTGCAGTTTGAAACTAGAAGGATGTTTATACATTCATCTGCTAAAAGTGGAAGGTTTCTCTGTGCTCACTGAAAGTCAGATTTTAAGGGGTCCAGTATGCACCTTACACAAGTGTAATATAGAAACTGAAAGCTGGATGGACTTTACAGTGAAGTAGGAGCATTGGATATTGTTTAGGTTTTTTCCAATACCTTAACTTTAAAACTTTATTAACTTTAAAAAGAAGCACAAAATGACATTATAGTGATATTAAAGAATTACTTTGTTTACTGCTAAGGCAAACTTAAAATTGAGCTATATATATTAACTTTTAATAGTTGAAAGTATACTTAAATCTATTAATAAAAAAAACACTTTTATTTAACATTTATATTTAATTTATTTACATAATAAACACCAAATGACAGTTACAGTACTAATAACCGCAAAATACAGTACTTTTTTAAAATTCTAAATATCTTTATGAATTGTTGTTGTTTGTCTGTTTGATTCATGATATGTGTACTTTGTTGATTTCTTTTTTTTTTATCAGGAGAAGGAAAGAGAACTAGATGCCAAGAACATCTATGCCAACCGCATGATGAAACCCTCACAAAAAAAAGATACTGACAGTGGCACGAAGCGGAAAGGTAAGGCCTAATCATGGGTTTCTGTTCATGATGCATGTGCATTTGTGAACTGTATATACTTAAATGAGCTTTTCTCATCTGTTATTGGGCATGGTTTGAAATAGGATTACCAAAATTAACTAATTTCTTTCACACAGTTCCCAGCAGGAACAGCACCAAGGCTGTGCAGACTAAAGACAGGCTGTCTAGTCTGGATTTCCCCACTCCTCCCCCTGCCATCGCCGATGCCAATGAGTACAGCGAACAGGCACCTGATGAATACTTATCACTCAAGGTATGAGAAAAAAGTGACTCTACTTCACTTTACTCCAACATCCACACTTCTTCTTCTGTCACTGTCAGTTGTGTTATCATCTTGTTTGCCTCTGCATTTCAATCAATGTGTGTCAACAGGAACAGGCAGAGACTGGAGACGGGCATCAAAAGTGGGAACAGCAGAAGACGAGAGACAGAGAGAAAGAAAGCGACATGGACAAGGAGTTGGTGAAGGAGAAAGAGCAACTCAATCAGGAGCTAAATGTTCTAGAGGAGAAGGCAAAGAGGCTCAGAGATGGTAAGCTGAGCAGAGTGTATACAAACACTAATTAGAAAAGTAATAAAAGGCACAAGAGCGCAACAGTAATGGCTTCATCTAATGTCCACAGGTTGGGAGAAAGAAAAAGAGGAAAAAGACAGAAAGAGGACGAGTTCCCTGTTAAACCATGAGGAAGAGAACAACAAGAAGGTCGGCCTTGTCCAGGAAGAGGTGAAGAGGTGGAACCAGGATGCTCAGGCCAATGAGCAAGCAGCGGAGGAAGCGCGTCGCAAAAAAGAACAGCTGCTCGCTAAGATGCGTGAAATAGACCACGGAGCCCAGGACACCATGTTTGCTGAGTCTAGTCTTTCTGAGTCCAATAAGGGTACCAGTAACCATCCTTCTCCTCGTCTTCCTGAGCAGAGGAATCACAACTCTTCAATTTTTAACCTCACAGAATCAGAGGAGTCGGCCAGTTTGCGCGCTGGTGCTGGAAGCCGGGAAGGTGGAAGGAGAAGATCAGGCCTAGAGGTTGGAGCTGTTACAACGGGAGTGGGGAGGAGAGCACTACGCTCCCAAATCTCCAATGACGACTTGGCATTCGGAAGCTACGCACCTTCTTTTGGAAATTCAGCTTCCCGAGGTTCTTCAGGCTTCCCTCCACCTCCGCCCATGGATGATAGGGACTCTGCTTTAGAAGCAATAGGTGTTTTTAGTCTCAGAGGGGTGGAGACAGAGAAAGACAAGGAGACTGAAAGAGGAGTGGGGCAGGACAGGAAGTCCAGCCTCATGCAGCAGCTATTTGGTGCCCTGACAACACCTGCTGGTGACAGTGCGAGCGCCAATAAAATGGAGGTCCTCAACAGTCCTCCAACCATCAATGGAGTACGTCCGAGAAGGGAAGGACTGCTCAGCTTCAACTCAGGGTCTTCCACTCCTCCGAAATCCTCCCTGAACACTCTACACGTCGCAGATAGCAGACCTGCCGTCCGTGCCATCACCTCGTTTGATGATGACATAGAGGAACTCACTTTATGAAATCTATTTCAATTTGAAGTAGTTTTTTGTAGGTGAGGTGAGGTCTGAACACTGATTGACTTCCCAATAAATAAATGTCAACATTATAGAAGCAAACATAAAAGAGGAAGAAAAAAAATCTAAAATAGTACATGACTATATAAATGATAAATGATTTAACTTTTGTTTTTGTCTTTTTAGTGATTCATCTAGAAAGTAATTTCATGTGACCTTGGAGCATTCAGGTGCATGTGTGCTGACACATGGATTACAGAAATAGGTGCCACAACTGTTGCTGACATAGGATTTTTGGACCCTTTGATCTGTGTTTAGTTGAACTTGTGAGTGTTGTGTAGACTGTGGCTTTTACTTGTTGCACTAGTTAAATTTGAAGAGGTTCCTCAGGTTGCATTCCATTATTTTAGTAGAATATGAACATAGGAGAGCAGAGCCACAACACACATATAATCCCCCAGTCACTTTTTGCTGTAAGCCACATGTCTTTGCGTTTCACATTTTAAGTGATTTTGCCATATATTGTTTTAGTAATAATAGTTTGTGGTTGCTGTTATTATCGGCTGGTTTGGGACCCTATATTTCTTAGCGTATCTGTATTTGCACACATTTTATTCCACACAGATTGAGCACAGTACTTAAACTATAAATTATTTTACAGTCCATGCCATAAGAATGTAACAAAGCCATATGACAATCACAGTGTGTTTAGAGTGCCCGGCTGTTATATAAAATGGGTTATATTTAAACCGTTTACTACAAAACTTCATAAAAATGGACTGAAACATGATAATGCCCTTTAAGTGTGTATGGAAGTGTATATTAACAAAAACTGTTGCGATTTGACCCACCTGACCTGAACACATCGGGTGTTTGAGGGCATTTACATGAGCATTGACTTTAGATTAAATATCAATATTCCCTGGCATGTTCCAGGCTCCCTGCACTGATATGACTCATAGCAGACAACCAGCACTAAGCCACAAGTTATATTGAAGTGAACAGACAAAATGCTTTATTGTTATCTATATTTATTGATTTTAAGCTCTTATAAATTCACATTCAATAATCAAAAACCTCTATTGATTATTACAGCAACCCCCAATGTTACCAATCTGTATCAGGAAGCTGTACAATGTCCACATTTGAAGAGCTCTTTGTATTTAATATGGCAGATTTTATTATTGTAACTTCCATAAGGGATGAAATGTGTAACCAGTGAAACACTTTGTGGTGGAATCAGTCTGTATTCATGTTTTGCATTTTTCACATTTTATACTTATTATCCACTTGTATTGTTTATGTTTTATAAGTGTTGTATTTTGTTGAACGAAAATAAATGCTTAGTTATCAGTCCGTGGCGCACGCACATTAATATTCATGCGGCAGGGAAGCCTGATAGGGATTCCCGGGACGTCTCCAAGCAACCAGAACCTGACGCAGCCGTCCCGCCCCTCCTCCGGTAACTCTCTGCTCAAAAACAAGTGAACCGCGGAGCTGTTAATATCGGAGAGAGAGAGAGAGAGAGAGAGAGAGGGAGAGAGAGATATAGAGAGAGAGCGGGTTTGCGATGGTCTCCGCTGATGTGGCTGCTCGGATTCAGGCTGACTCCCTGTTGGACCGCTGCTGCTGAAGGTAAACCAGCCACACGCAGTTTGAATTGTATGAGATGATGCCGGCAGTGTCCCAGCGTGCAGCGCGCTGTCAGTAAAGCCAGAGGAGGTTAAATGACTGCTCACGTGGACGCTGTATCACTCGGGTTATTCGTTATTTTTTTGTTGCTTTAATGTGGTATTATTTGTGTAGAGATATCGTGCTAGGCTATTTCCTGAAGAAACCGGTGAGAACTGCACGAGGCAGCAGGAAACATGAACAGAATAAGAAAAAGTATGGAATCTGGTAAAGTTGAGCACAACTTTAGATTCCGACATCCCCCTTTATGGGCTAGGATAAGACTAGAATAAGGTCAGGTGAAGAAGATGGAATTAAGGCATTATATTGTATTGTTATTATATATATATTGTTATTGGCCACATTTTGTGTTGATGTTATTTTTTCACCCATAAAAATGATAATTAAGAAGAGAAAATCCTCTTATGTAATACGGACTTGATAAAACTAAGTACAATTACTCAAATAATGAGCTTTAGTACAATTTTGAGGCACTTTTCAGTACACTCGTTTATCTGAGTATAGATATTTTGAGTATCTACTTTACACTTATAGTCCACTAGAATTCAGAGGGAACTATTGTTCTACTTTTTACTCCACTGTATTTATTTGCTGCCTTTAGTAAGTGGTGACTGCAGATTCATATTAATTTACAGAATGTATCTGTTTGTATTATTATGGATACAGATAAGACTTTATTGATATATGGTTAAACATAAATAAGTGCCATCTTTACCAGCTGCAACATTTAAATGTACACATGAATGAATGAATCAATAATTATAATTCAGGAATGTAATAAAGTAATTTAATAAACTTTATTTTGAAATGGGCCATTCTGCATAATTAATGTTTTTACTTTTGATACTTTAAGTAATATTGTGATGCTTATACTTTTACTTAAGTAATATTTTAAAGGCAGGATTTTAACTTGCAACAGTATTTCCACACAGCATTGCTACTCTGACTTAAGACTTAAGACAGAAATAATCATGTTTATGTTATAGAGTATTTTTTTTAAATGTGTCCCTCCTTATAAACTGGGAAATAACACCTGTTGATACCCCTGTGGCTTTTTTCTTTCTTTATTTATTTGTTATTGGTTTTAGCTGTTAATGTGCCATATTTCAAACCACAGACTATTTTATTAAGTTTCTGTTGCCATAACAAAGGAATCCAATATGCCACAGTAATTGGGTGTTTCACCTTAATGAATAGCTTGTGTGTTAGGCTACTCATCTCTGATGATTTCTATAGATAATAATGCTCATATTCCCACAGACTGCTCTGGGGATCAGCACATAGTCAACCCTCCAGTTTGAAATTCAACACCTTTGAATGGAAATTACTCAGAGGTGTGTTATGTTATAGATTGGCGAGAGATACACGCTAAAGCCTGATTAGTTACTCTGCGGTCATGTTTGTTATGTAGACAGTCCTGCATGTTCCAGATAGAAGAGTCAGACTTCATAAGCCAGACCAGGTTTCGGCATCTTAGAATGCAACACACACAAACTAAATTCTCTTGGTGTGACAACACTGCAACTGGATGTTGCTGAGCGGTCAGATTCTGCTGCCTTGAAACCAGAGGAACGTATGGGTGATGTTTGGTGATTTAGGTGCCAGTTGGGACATTTGAATAAATGGGAATAAATGCCCCCCCCCCCAAAAGATATATCAGTGTTTATATTTGCCCCAGGCTGCATTTGATATTCAAGATGTAAACTTTGGCTTCCTTAAGAGAAACATTTCCTGCTGGTCTATTCAAAAGTGGCTGAGGTCACCAAAAGTGCCTCTTAAATGATCAAGCAGCCAACAAGAGGCCGGTTTGGGGTTTTTTGCTTTTATGATTTTAAATCCTTCATTTCTTTATGATTGTGATCACAGCTCATTATATAAATAAATGTGCACACACACTTTTCCCCACATACTGGCTCTGCAGTTCCCATTCACAATTTAAATAGCCTCCTTACTGTCCGTGCAGGATTTTTGCACACTCTTTAAAAATGCATGTGGTATGGATTTTCATCCCCGTTCATTGGTCTCCTCTAACAATGTGGTCTCCAGAGACACACTGATTCCTTCAGAGAATAAGTAGCGGATCCATTCCCGGGCATTCACAAGTCAGCTACTCTGCACAGTGAGAGGCCTATTTTACCTTGCAAAACAGCCAAGCCTATCATTAGATACAATGACTTCACTGCTGGTCTGCTGTGCCCATTATGGAATAAGTGAGCACTAACCACTTATTGAGTGCTTTAAGACTTTGTAAGAGGACACTGGGCAGAACGTCTGCTTTTGCTGCCGCTGTTAGAAGTGTGTGTTTGCTATATCATTTAAGAGGTTTAAGGATTTAGTTTGTGGCTCTATTTTCCTCAGCCATTCTCGTGGGCCTTCATCCTCACCCCACTGTTTCTAAACTGGGTGGATTAAATAGTGATTCATGGTCACCAGAGGAAGAATCCTATGGTTAGAAATCTCTTGATTTTTCCCCTAGAGGGCACCACCATGATCCTGACATAATTTTAAGTAAACATTTAGGTCAATATATTGGCAGAAATAGAGTTTAACATTCTGTTTTACAATCACCTGAAAATAAGAATTATTGTGCCTTTGTTATGTTAATGAGACATTTTTATCTACAGAGGGTGTCTGTCCTCTTCCACAGAGGCTGCCATGTTGAACCATGTTTTTACAGTAGCCCAGAATGGACAAACCAAGCACTGGATCTACATATGTCACATATGTAGATAGAAGTTGTAAATATAAGGGTTTCTGTAAAAGAGCAACACTATCAGCCATTGTGCCCCACTGCCAGTCGCCTGTCACCTCAGGTTGGTTAAGGCAATAAGCCCTGAGGACAGGAGGTGGAAAATTGCTGATTCATTTACAGTCCCTGTGTCGTTGCTATGGAAACAATTTGTTCCTGTTACATGAAAATCCAAGAGGTGTGTTCCCTCAGTGTGCTGATCCTTCATTATTTGATATATGAGAGGCCAAATGCTCAATTTAAATCGGTTTACAGAATGAAGGAGCGAGAGCGTTAACTTTAATTATAGCCTACTTGTTATTCAATCTTTCTGAGATATAATCTGTTATACAAATGAGCCTGTCAGGCCGGAGTTGAGGTGTAGCCTTTTTGTCAGATGCCATGTTAGTTTTGTCTGTTATTTGGATTATGGTGGCTGGTGTTATAGACAGAAAATATTTCATAACTTGCGTCCTCCTTTCTACAGTGTTAAAGACGATCTGCCTCTAAAACACCAATGGATCCATTAAAAATCCTTTGAAGACCGACTTTACTGACAAAGGACTTTTGGAAAGACACGACTATGGTCAACTGTGACAACGAAAGAAGCCACCAATGAAGAACAGATATCTTTATCTATTTTTATTTTGACACATTTGTTAGAGAACTTTTTGTATTAAGTAGATTAATGATGGACGCACCTTCAGCCCCTCAGATTATAGTGGAGGGGGCTTGTGTCCTGGAGGAAGCAGAAAGTGGGGAAGACGTGGATTTGCCTACAGATGACCATCTCATGAACTTGAAGGCCTTGACGGAGAAATTAAGACTGGAGACCAGGAGACCTTCTTACCTGGAGTGGAAAGCTAGGCTGGAGGCAGAAAGCTTCAGAGAACCAGGAAGTGGGAAAGGCCCGATCCAAGTGGAGCCTGAAGGGAAAGAGACTGTAGTGAACTCTGGTGTGTTTCAGTGCAAGTTGCCATCAGGTGTACTGAAGGGATTTGGGAACATCGATGAAGCTCTCAGCTGGCTGAGGAGAGAACTGGTGAGACATAGCTTCAATTCTTTACAATGTACAACTTTATTAGCTCTCTTGGAATATGTAGCAGTTTGAAATAAGTTTGGCATCTCTAAAATGTATTTTGTTTCGTATTTGCAGCTAGTGGATGGCCATTTTTTAAAAGATCTTGTCCAGGCACTTAACCATCTGGATACCTGAGATTCAAGTACACACTTTCATTTACATTTTTAGTTAAGAGCTTTATAATTTTGCACTTAAAGGCCAGAATAGAAAAATAACTTCCTGCTACCTAGCTAATTAGAATTTAACGATGGACGCAATGTCCAATTACCGGCCAGAAGAATCCAATTTACATCAGCCAGTGAGATGGATTGGGACTCAGGCAATTGCATCAGACGTTTGTTACACAGTTTCCGCAAGTGTAATCATTTTTACTCTGCTCAATTACTCTGCACATTCACCCGCGGTTCATAAGCCTGCACTGAGCACGCAAAGAGGAACTGTCAGAGGCAGAATCGTACCCACAAACATTCTGCACAAAGACAGTGGACAAGAGGGACGATTATGATCTTTGCACAGACTTTTGCACATAGACAGTGGACACGAAGGAGATAAAATTGAGAGAGCTTATGATGAGAAACTTGTTTGTGGATGTCCCACTGTGAGTTTTCTTTTTGGATTTTGTTACACAATAAGGACTGAATGCACGGACCTCCCAGGAATCTAGATCATGTGAACTATGCGTTAACTGTTGTTGCTGTAATCATTCTTAGAAATAAAACAGTTCAGCATTATCCTAAAAAATGTGTTTAAAGGAATAGTTCCACATTGTGTGAAATATGTTTAGTCAAAAAGTTAGTTTTGCCAAAAGTTAGTTGAGAAGATGAAGTTAAATGCCTTTGATTAGAACCAACACTAAGTTGTTGTTCTTTTTCTGTATATATTATAACACTATACAGTACCAGTCAAAAGTTTGGACACACTTTCCTATTCACTTAAAGGAGAAAGTGATAATCACCACAAATGTGCTTAGCAACTTACCAGATGAATTTTAAAGTACATTTTTGACCTCGGAAACCGATTTTAAAAAATGTCAACACAACTTAGTTGTTGTTTCAGAAGCTTTCAACCACATGGCCTTCCGGGAAAGTAGTTGCTCAGTTGTCATAGAGTTTTTTATAATCATGTTCAACCATCTGTTATCACGTGATGAACTGAGTCACTCCATCCACTGAAGAAGGCCGCGAAACATAAGTTAGGCCTTTTGTTAAGAATTTCTATGTCAAGTTGCCATATTTTTTTTATTTATTTAGTCACATTCCCAAATCGTCAAATACCGACGTGGGAATGAGACTCAACAATCAACTATCTTTCTCCAGAATGACCCACCTTTAAAGCTCCAGTGTGAAATATTTAAGAGGATCTATTGACAGAAATGGAATATAATATAAATTCTACACCCTTTAGGCCAAAAAGTAATTTCTAATAAGAAAATCAACAGCTTGTTTTAACGCCACTGTTTTCTGTCTCTCTCCATCAGACAGACATGCGCTTACAGGACCAGCAGCTGGCGAGGCAGCTCATGCGGCTCCGGAACGACATCCACAAGCTGAAGATAGAGCAGACGTGCCACCTGCATCGCCGGATGCTGAATGACGCCACCTTTGGCCTCGAGGAGCGGGACGAGCTGTCGGACCTGCTGTGTGAATGTCCGGTCACCCCGGGGCTCGGCCTCTCAGCCCCGCTGAGGCTCATCGGCGTCACCAAGATGAATATTAACTCTCGGCGTTTTTCGCTCTGCTAGTGGCAGCAATAACCCTTCAGGCAGGAAATCCTGGAAACAAAACAGCCTGTCTTATACTATCTTTGCTCCATTGCAACATGCCAGCCATGGCCATATGTTAGATAGTGTTGTAATCCTTTGTGCATTTAGGGCTTGACCACAATGTTGTGAGGATGAATCTTGATGTAAACCCTGTTTTACAGTCCCTATAATCAAAGAGAGAGATTTAGGCAATGTATATCATTTAGAAAGAAAAAAATTGGGTGTAGTAGGTACATATAAAGTGCTTTTGCCACTAAACTATACATGGCAGCTATATACAGAAACCTCTCTGTCTTAAAACCACAGCAGATTTTAGACCTCTAGGCCATCATGACTTGAAACAGAATACTTTTAAACTAAAATATAAAATAAAGCTCTCCCAAGCTATTTGCTGGGACTTTCCAAGTTTCTATCTACAAGCAAAGATTAAATATTTGAATATATTTTTACTGCATACATCTGGACAATTTTGTTACACATCCTGGATCTTTATCAAAATGTTTTGTGCTTTTAAAAAGATGCCTTAATTTTGATGCATATTTGAGTTAGCGAGTAGTAGTATCAATTTAGGAAACATTGCTTTCTTTGTAGAATATGATGGAAATGATTTATTCTGTATAATGATTGTCAAATTGCACTAGTTGGCTCAAGTCCTTTGCTGAAGTTTGATTCTTATAAATAAGGACGTATTTTACTCTTGGTTGGAGCTTTGCTCTTTTTATGCTCTAATTGTTGAGTTCCAGCCTGAAAGTAACTATTTGAGATGAAATTGTCTGTTTGAAACAAAAACATGGTTTAGTTTCATGGATAAACATTGAATTATAACTCACCTAGATCTGTGTGTGTACCAAATGACTTGATTATGTGGACCTTGTAATGAGCCTTATGTTATGTTGGCTGTTTTGATGGGATATATCATTGGAGATAACCTTTCCTTACTTATTTTCTTATTTGGTTGTGGGGGTTTGCATTTGAAATGTGGGTCGCATATAGTCCCAATGCGTAGAGCATGCAACAGGAAAAGGAGTTTGTGGGTTTAAGATGCCCCTCCTTGTGGTCCTGACACAATCTGAACATAATCACATCTGTTAAGCTCACACACACACACACACACACACACACACACACACACACACACACATACACACAACATCTAATTGGTTTGCCACAACAATGCAGATTGCCTCTCATAACAACCACTGAAATGACAAGGTTAACATCTGTGTCTACTACTGCTCAGACTGTTCCAACATTATATGATTAGCTTGTTGTACAAACACAATACTTTGCCATTGTCTATGTTTGCAGCGTTCTCTGAACAGTGAGGCCCAATGCCAGCTGGCAAGAAAACAACTGCTATGTCAACTTGATCTTGTGTTACTAAGCCTATAATTGACTGGAACATACCTTAAAACTGGTTTGGTAAGATATGATACCTTGAATGGGTTATTGTTAGTGCTTTTCACAAATGTACTGGAAATAAACACTCAATCAAGAAGTTGGATGCGTTACTTTTTCAACATATAATTTGCTGTCCTCACAACAAAATCTCACCAATGGCCTCTTGTGTTTTCTTGTGGTAAGACTTGTCACTCAAACACAGAATAAGCAGGTCTTTCATCAGTACATTGTGTATTAAAGCGCTCACTGAACCATGGAAGGATCTGGGAGATGAGGCATGTTCAATAAAGAAGCTTAGATACACTGTACCGGCAATCTGTTTGCACTTGCATGCAGTGTGCGTCACCGTGGGGTATTTAAACATCTTAAGTTACTCAATCTTTGTGGAGGTGTTGAGAGCTTTTAACAAAATTGGATGTCCTGCGGTGTCCCCTATATCTTACTTGCTTTAAAAAAAACTACAGTTGTTTTAGTATTCCTTGTGATGGCACACACACACACACACACACACACACACACACACACACACACACACACACACACACACACACACACACACAGTGCATTGACAGATATGTAAAAGGAATATTTTGACATTTTGGGAAACACGGTTATTTGCTTCTGGGCAGAGAGAGATCTTAAAACTGACACCACTCTCATCTATCCGTTAACCGCAGCCAGCAGTGGATTAGTTTAGTTTAGCGCAAAGACTGCAAATGGAGAATAAAGTAGCTTGTCTTAGAAGGCAATAAAAAACCACCTAATACCAACACCTCTAAAGCATACTAATTAACACCTTGTACTCCATTTGGTTGGTTTAATCCGTACGAAAAGTGCAAAAAGTCAATTTGCCATTTTACTATGGATTATGTGTGAAGAAAGTCTGGCACATCATCCCCCATAAAACGTCAGGTTGAGGTTTTTACCTTGAGGTTTTAAACTTTTGTACAGATTAAACAGATCACGTACAATGTAATGTAATCACTAAGCCTTAGAGGTGCTGGTAGGTTGATTGTCTACTTTCTGACAAAGCCAGGCTAGCTGTTTGCCTCTTTTCCAACTCATTAATTAGGATCTCATCAAACTCTCAACCAGAAAATGTCATGGATTAATTATCTTCTCCTCCTTTTCCCTCTCTATCATTTTTGTCCTAATTCTTTTGTCATCTGTGCACGCTGCACATGAACTTGTGTAAACAGTTGGGAACAATCAGGGTATGTGTGAAGACATGAGCATGGGGGTCATGAGGTTTTTGCATGTGAGAGTCAGTGTAACCCCCTCGCTGCTCCCTGTGTCCCCCTCTATCTGGAGGGCCTGAAGTGGCATGTCATGAATGACTGCTGAGCCTGAGATTTTCATGCATGAGCTCCAGCTTTATGTGAGCTTATCGCTGCTGAAAGCCGCAACTCCTTTTGACTGAAAGGCCGCCAAAGGGGCCATCACATACTGACAAGCTGCTGGTGATCAAGGTGATTTAATTTCTTTTTCTGTACTACCAGAAGACTTTTTGGATTATATTTAAGCTATTACAATAAAATAAATACTGTACAACCATTGTTCTCTGGAACGACTGTTCCAGAGAAAATTAAAAACAAAAAGTACTTTGTGCTTGTTCAGATTCCAGTTCTGCCCAACAGATGCCCTTGGAGCTCGCCATTTTATTAATTTCATGCCTAAACCATCTCATTTACATGACAAAATGACTTGACAGGCATAAAATCGGACGCTATCTCTGCTGCTGAAGCATAAAGACCAGTTACTTTGTCAAAAGCTACAATCCAGATGCAAAAATTAGGCATCATGTTGAAATAAGCAGTTGGTTGAGGCGGATATGGACAAAAATAATGAAAAACGCTTGGACGGTATGATTCAGTTTAAGATAAATGATGGTAGGCTATGTGAGGACTTCCAGTTGGATTTTTATGTATCCCAAGAGGGATGCTGTCAGTTAATTTCTATCTTTACCTTTTGTCTGCCAAAAGCTTCTTTTCTCTGATGTTCACGACTGGGAATGTAGCTGCCATCCTGTTCCAGGAATATAACAGATGTAACACCACATAGCTGCAGTTCTCACCATGACTGAGCTGCAAACTCAAGCGTGAATGGCTGACAGAAACCTCACGAAGGTGAACCACAGCACAGGGTGAGACTGGCGATAATCCCAGACTGCATCTCACACTGAGACTTTGTGTAGGAGTGTCTCAGTATATCCCATCTCAGCAAAGATTTACTGTAAGGAGGATATGTTCAAAGACCAGAACACCAAATCCCAGAGAAGAACGCAATAAATAGACAAACCAGTAATTTAATTGATGGGTTAATCGTCATTTTGGCTTTTTTTGGAAGCTGACCCTGGATGATGTGATAACAAACTTTCCTCATTAGTGACACTTAGAACTTTGACCACATAGGAAAACATTAAACCAGCAAAAGCACTGTTCATTTTTAATGGTGTGGAAATAAGACCCGAATCAGACTGTTTTTGTTGGTGAAACGAGGCATGTTGTAGATCATGAGGCTTAAGCTTAAGGTTTCATTGTGTGGTCAATGAAACCCCTGGAGTGTCGAGACACAGATTCAGACTGTGTTGGTTGCTGGAAAATAGATTTATAAGGTCAGAGAAACACTTGGACCAGCTCCTAGACACATTAAACGTCTCCAGAAGCTAAAAATAGCTTTTAAAGCATCGCTCTCTATGTGGCATATTAATTTGGGAAAAAAGCCTTTTGCTTGCAGATTCCTTTTCATTTTGGATTAGACTGTCTGCTCTGCATAACATTTGGCTGGTGGGCAACAGGGTCTTGAATATGAATCACAGATTACTAGTTTTTATGTATTTGAAACTATGTATTATTTGAATTTGTTTAAACTCATATTAATTAGTTAAACCTAAATGATTTTTTTGCCACTTGGGGGCAGCGGAAACAAGCTCGTAATCATTTTAACCCTTTTAAGTTAATATGGTGAACTAAAAAGGCAAACAGTTACCTATTAGAACGCTCCAGCAGACAAGGAGCAGTTTGCAGATTGCAACTCCCTCGCTTCAACCTCCCCCTTCAAACCGCAAAGGAGAAACTACGCCAGGGTTTGTCTGTTCTGGGCTACTGTAGAAACATGGCAGCGTCTGTAGATATAAAAGACTCATTGTAAGGTAACAAAAACACGACAATTCTTATTTTCAGGTGATTATACACGAATGAAAACATACCTATAAATATTATGTTCAATTTCTGCCAATAGAGCATCCTAAATGTTACACACTGGAGCTGTAAAGTTTTTAGGGTGTCATGTTCAACCAAAACCAGTCGTAGCCAGTTTCAACTAGCAGAAAGTCAAGGGAGGCAATTGCAGAATGTTTCTTATAAAGCAATATGTTCCTGTGAAACTAAACCAAAACTCAAATGAAAAAATGCATTAGTTTTTCATGACTCATTGTCTAACATGTCCATTTGAAGTTGCCAATCCAGTGTTGTCACAGACATCTGTCTACACAGGATCAACTTACCATTATAACTAAAATCTCAAGTTTTCATCCCTGAGTACAAGGATCTTTTCAGTGAAACAAGTAAACAAACGCTCATCTGATTCTTCTTCATGAGGCATGCTCATGAAAGGTGATAAAGTCACTGCAGAGACACTACAGGGGCTCCAGTCGTTGTTGTAAAGATAATTGGCAAACTCTTTATAAAACAGCATGTGATCTTTTAATGACCTAATTAAACCAACTGATCTATTTAATAATTACTTACTTCCAATGAGGCACTGTAATGACTCACTCTGTTCTGTCTAAAATTGGATTAAGACGAGAATTTACAAGAGGCCAATTAGGCCTCTGCCAAGTACTGTGAGAAAGCTAGCACGGTTCAATTACACTAAGACCATGTCTAAAACAATGATTTGCTCTCCTTCTGTACCAAAACAATGACGCCACTTTGCTGGAAACAGGTACAACTATCTAAGAATAGTTTGCGTGGGTGATGAGAGATAATCTTTATTTGCTCTGTGAGATCATAGGCTTCTTGATTATCTCATCCTTTTTGTTCGAGGCAGACAGTGTCTCAAGCCAAAGTGGCTATTTGAACCCAGGTGTAGTGTTCCAGTCTTTACATGTACTCCTACACCTCTGCTCCATTCCCACAACAAACATGAGACAACCCAGACAAGGGACAAACATCTTTTGACTCCAGTTTCTTTTGTCCTTTTAAAACTTACTGAGGAAAATCATATAAAAGTCTCTGAAGGCAATGGTTTAAAAGCCTGGTGAGCGGCTTTACAGAATGGAATGTACTCAACTCACACTGTGCAGCCAATTTCTCGTCCCTCACTCACAAAACTAATCCCCAACTTTGAGGGCAACATCCAGCGTGATTGCTTTGATGAAACTCAGGCTGAAGTTCCACAGCAGCTTAGGTGCATCCAAGCAAATGATCAGTCAGAGAGGATCATAATCAGATTACAAAACCTTCACCTCCTGTGTCAGTTTTGGTGTATGAAAGTCAAATTAAATGTTATAGTTAGTCTCACTTCAAACTGTTGATAATGCAACAGACAGGTGTTAAGGATAATAACCATCAAAAGACATCATGAAGCTTGTCATTTTAAAACAAAAAAAGAGACAGTGTAAAGTAGCTGTTATTTAATAACCATGATTTGCTCAACAACTGTAGTTACAGTTCATAATTACCCGTCTGCGTGTGACAGACAGTTGGCAGCAGTACTGCAGTGTAAAGGCACAATGACAGATAAATGTAATATCACAAGACATAACAAGATGACCTGCAGGAGAAGAACAAAAATCTAAAATCATAAATTTACATCAGCCATAAGCTAACTGGCTTTGTCAAATACAGTCCCCACTCAATTAGCTTGAACTGAATGAGAATTTTTGTTTTTACAGCATTTCCTTGGTCAGTTTGAGTAAGGCAAAATTATACAAATGAGTAAACACTGATAACAAATGATAGTGTAAAAACAAAGTGGTACACAAATCTTACTGAAGAACAAAATTATATAAAGCAAAATGTTACACTCTCACAGCAACACACAAATGTGGAATAAATGAAGAAAATGTTCTCCTGGTGGATGAAGCTGATTGAACTATAGCAATACAAAAGCACAAACCAGTACAGCCTCAGTCTAAACCTTCTAAAAACCATGTACACAGTCCTCTGATGGATTCTCCAGAGTCTTTGAGGGTATTCAGAACAGGGCTGAAATACTCTAAAAAGGCTCTGTAGATTTACGCTACATTGCTGACAGCAGTGGCAGATACTGCCAATAAATGAGTACAAAAATCAAAGCAACTTTAAAAATATAGCAGAGGCTATGAATCCCTCTAAAATGCAAAAATAGCCAACTGACTGTGTGTCTGGGTCTGCGTAAGTGCATTTGTTGACTTCATGTTTTTTGTGGTAACAGGTTGAGGTTTTCCGTGAGTGCACAGGGACTATGGAATGTCCTCTTGACAATTAGAGGAAAATACAATTAACCAAATCTTAGGTCAGTGCTAAGGACCACCTTCATCTGATCCGTTCAGCTCATGCCTACTGTTCGTTTGGATTGGGCTGCCATTCTATGTCAGCTCTTGCAATAAAAAATACCTCGCTTTGTTCGTCAGGGCGTCACTCCCTCCTGGTCCATACTGCAGCCGAGAGCTTCAATGTCATTACTGATATCGGTGATCATGCGGTCCCATTCGTCTCCCTCGGAGGCCTCCTGGCCCTCGTCTGAGGCAGCGCTCCCCCCTGCTGCTCCGTTGCCGTTGGTAGTGGAATCGGAGGCGGAGCTGGCTGTGCGTCGGTAACGACCAAAGCTGTCTGTAATGATGCCCCGGCCGTCCTTCACACCGATGGTCTCGAGAAAATTCTCAAAGTGCTGGCTGTCCTTCTCAGGTATGAAGGGACGCAGGCCTGCAGAGACATTATAATTCTAATGGTCACGGACTGTGTTTGATATGACATCTGTCCTTTTAGCATATAGTTTACCACATGTGTTGTGTTACATTTATTGTGACATAGAACACATTTCGTTTTTTATTTGAAAGAGAGAGACACTGATTAGGTCATGCAACCATACATACAATTTGTTAAACACAGTTTGAATTTTACTGATAGTATGCTTATTATGCTCTTCTATTTACATTTTTTTCAGCTTATTCACAAAGAAGAAAATTAATCTCAAAGCTTAAAAAGCTCACAGAGGTCTGAAAATCAATAAATGAATCAGAGAGACTTCTAATTGTAACGATGACCAAATTTTGCCAGGATTTTGGCTTGAATTTCTCCAGACCTTGTTGAGCTTGATGATATGAAGAATGACACAAGATCACTGTATCTTAACTTGTGGGGAAATAAAGTGGTCATACCAAGAAGGAGGAACTTCCTGCTGTCCCCATAGAGTTGTCGCAGGTTAATGCAGAACTCATGGATGGAGGCACCGTTACGGTATTCGTGGAGCAGGGTAGCAAACTGCTGGATCTCCTGCGATGACAGTTTTGTCCGCAGCTAGCAGGGAAGAAAAATGTATTGAAAAATTAAAACAAGAAATAGTACAACTTGAAAAATATCCTAATCTTAAAAACAGAAGGGGGCAAATAAAGAGTGAAATCAGCATACTGTGGTCATGTAGTCCTGCAGCAGCTCTGCAGCAGTGGTGCTGAGCTCTCCTTCACTCGCAGTCTTCGTCTGAGGGGATGCTGGGGTGGAAGCAGATGGTGAGTTTTCTTCTGCCTCCTGGAAAGGACTGAGAGAAGAATGCATCCCTCGTAAGTGGCAAGCAAAAGTGAAGCCTTTTCAGAAGTGTAAAAATCTTTTTTGAGCACTGTTCAAAAATAAAACGTGTACTTACAATGTGCTAGCTTCCTCTTCAAAGGCCTCCTTAACATCCACTTTGCTTGAAGAATCATCTGCAAAAATAAAAGTACATGTTTGCAGGTTCATATATGACTTAAGTTCTGACACTGCAGCTTGAGAAGAGGGTAAAACTCCAAAAACAACCATAGAGTGAAACATTAGTAGTGAAACACTACTACACCAAAAATTTAGTTTAAAAAAAGAAACCAAACCGATAATCTGTAAAATTAGTCTGATTCCGTTCGTTTTTCTCTAGAAAGTACGTCTGTTTTACTTACCACTGTATAGAGAAAAGTGTCTGGTAGGTGTAGTTGCTCCATCAAAAATAGCTCTGTCCAAGAAGTCGATGGTTGATTCTGTGTAAACGATCTGAAAGACCTGACTGAGCAAAAGACACAGCTCCTCTGCTGCTGCCTAAAAGACAAAAAAGTTAGCCATTAACAATGCACTTTCCAAAGAAACTAATTCATGACAATAACTCTGTTATATCTTTTTGCTAAATGTCTCAATGTCTGCCTCATTGCTCCAACAAAAGAATATTTTTTGAGAATAATTTCTGTCGTAATCAGGGTTACAGTCGGACTGTTAAAGGGACCCTGCTGTGATTCCTTGTAAACCCACAAAAGTTATGATTACATTCAGTATAACTCATCAAAACACACTGTATGTTGCTTGAGATCTAACAAACATGTCAAGAGCATTTCCTTCCTCATTAAATATTTGCAAAGCAAATTACACCTGTGTATCCGTTTTAACTAGCTTGCAGCCTTCTTCTTCCCCATCTTTGTTGGTGCATGGCAGAATATCTTGGTGTGTTACTGCTACCTGTACATCAGTGGAATATTGTGACATCCTTGCTGCTAAGTACACCTTGGTCAATTCTCCCAAACCTGGATTATAGGGACTCAATCTACAGGTTTGCCACCAAAAGTCTTCTCAATAAACTGGACATCAGTTACCATACTTCCATCCATTTTGTCTACAGTGCCCCTTTCAACACTCATCACTGCAAGTTGTATTCTCAGGTCACCTGGCCATCATTCCACACCAGGCGACAAATCCACTGGTATCAGTTCATTTATAAAACTATCATTGGCAAAACCCCTCCATATCTCTACTCACTACTCAATATCTCCAACGGTAACTACAATTTGCGTTCTTGCAAATTCATTACTTTGGACACGCCTAGAGTCGGTACCTCCTTCCGCTGTCACTCTTTTCAGTTGACCACTCCCAGTGACTGAAACCAGTAACAAAAGTCACAGCACACACTCATTACTTTATCCTCCTTTAGTAACGATTCCATGCTTTTGAACTTACCTCTCTAGAACACAGTATCTCTGTTGTATACATACTGTATATATTATGCTGTTTTAACTCTGTCTTATACTGTTTTGGTTTTTGCATTAGCTGCATGTATGTTCTTGTATCGACCTGCCGCCTGTTGCTGCCCCTGGGCCATATCATCATTGTAAACGAGAATTGGTTCTCAATTGACTTATCTGGTTAAATAAAGGTAAAATAAAATTGGTAGGACTTTGTATCGTGTCACCCAAGTGCGCACATGTACATGAGATAAACAAAACAGACACCCAGTCATAGAGAAACAGCACTATAACACTACTATTGGTCTAAAACTCCACAGGAAACTTTTAACAAAGCTTAAAGCAAAAATTTATATCTGAAAGTAGTCACAGCGAGCGTGCACCTTGCTTTTAAAAGGCAGTGATCTCATTTGTTTTACCTAACTGAACTAAATAAATACACTCTGCAGATTTTCATTTCATTACAGAGCCGCTGATGCAAAATAGTACCTTATTATCAACGGCTAGCACAAGCAGACAGCAGACTTCCACAAGCACAGCTCCACTCTCTGATAAGGAGCTCAGGGTCTGAGACTTGTTGAGATCAGGACATGAGCTGGGACAAGGAGAACCTCCTGATTCCTGGGCTGAAAAACGTGGAAAATTACACACAGTCAAATTTAATTGTTCAAATTGTCACTAACTTAGCAGACACTACTTTGTATTTTTTAAATAAATCCAAACTCTCCTTCATTATTATTGGGCCACATTATCTGAGTTACCAAATAATTTCCCTTATTTCTTGTTCTTCTCCCAGAAAGATGATACACATGTTTTGAACTGGATTTAACATCATCAGATCCATATTATTCCCAATTTAGTAGTTTGTCCGTACCCAGGGTTTACCGCAGTACTTTGCAGCTAAGGCAGCCGCCTTAGCAACACACGCCTGCCGCCTTAACTACGTCGTCGTCAACCAAAAAAAAAAAAAAAAAAGAAAAAAGGGCTTCTTCGTATGACCCCCCCCCCCCGTTCTGACAGCCTACCACCTTGACTAACACATTCCCTATTTCCTGCGGGAAACCCTGCTTACCATAAGGTAGGGATGTCGCAGAACCGATACTCCAGTACCAAGTTGATGATTTTGTAAAAACCTGACGGTACAGGTTTTTGTAGCTCAAGATCCCAAGTCACAACTATGACAAACTTAATTTGAACAGGAACATTTAAATGTTTCTTTCTTACCTGTTTTGATCACCACAAGGTGCAAAGAGTCGTCCCTGATGTAGGAGACAGCAGCAATATCATGGATGGGCACTCTCAGGATGATGTCTTCTCCATCGCGCCATACAAGCTTTATGTTGTACGCCGACAAGCTCACCACTGCATCCTGCTCTGATGTCAGCTGGCCTGCCAACTGATGTGACTTCTGACAATCACAGAGGAGTACTAGAGTTGGTTAATTATCCCCGTTATGACATAAATTACAAATGCCACATGGAGTTAAATCCTCTTAGGTACTCACCCTTGCAGTGTCAATGAGCTGCAGCACTTCTGTGCGACTTGATGGGTTCAAGTATCCCGGAACTGATGTCAGCTGCCCCAAGTACTGGAGAGGACAGAACATTTAAAAACCTTTTACTAAAAGATGTACAAAATTCAAGTAAGAAAAACAGCGTAACTTAATATGATAGAAATGTCCTCCGAAGTGAATGGTACTGCAATAGGACTGCACAATATGGTAAAATCATAATATTGCGACTGTTTTGACAGATACTGCGATTCACAATTATGTGGGAATGATGTTGCATCACAAATTACATTTTCACAAGGAAAACTATTAAAGTCATGATGATTTTGGGGTGTCTGAAGCAAACAAACATGTTTTCTTAAATCTGGAGAACAAGATTTGTAGACCAGGGCTCCTCTGCAACACAGAGACAGATTATAATGCTGCTTTGTCACACATTTGACCTTTTTAAAAACATTACAGCTCTTGCAATTTGTATTTGTATATTGCACTTGGCCATATTGCGATTTTGATAATATTTCGATTACTTGTGCAGCCTTATAAAACAACATTTTTAATACATGGGAAGGGACTCTCTCTCTCTCTATACATCTGCTAGTCATACTCACTTTGACTTCCTTCTCAATGTAGTCATTGAGCAGGATGTCAGGGTCGATTCGGTGGTCAGGCTGAGAGAGTGAGAAGGTGTGGAGGGCCCTGCGCTCAGTGGCTTTCTCCTGGGCCTTCTTGTCTCTCCCCTTCTCTCCTTTCAGGAAGACTCGCTTGAACGGAGACACGATACCAGGCTGATGAATTTAAGACAAAGAGAGCGAGGTTGGGAGAAATTAGAAGATTGTAAAGCCACCTTAGAAAATGCAGTAAGAAATTAGACTCAATATGTGTGGATGTATTTCATATTCTCTAAATTATACACCATTGGCATTATTGGTTTCTACACAACAGTATATTATTAATAATTAACGGACTATTCAGGTCAACAGCATACATATGGTGTAGTTGCAAGAGCTGGCAACACAGTAAAGAAATTGCAAAGGGAGCTACAAGTTTAATGCCTGCCCCTCTAAAAAAACAACAAGCAGAAAGTTATATGAAACTATATGAAACTTCTGTAGACTTTTATTCCTGGTAGTTTCTGCTGACCCTGCTTCCCCTGACTGTGCTGGTAGCTGCAGTTAAGACTGAGCAGATGGACTCTTTGGAAGTGCAAATGTACAGGCCTGTGTTACCCAATATGTGTTACTCAAACGTCAACAATAGCATGTGCAAAAGGAAACTCTGCATTTTGCAATACTGGAGTGGTCGCACTTGTAGTCAGGGTAAAACATGATGGAGAAACACATTTTAACATCTAAATCCTGAACATTAACCTCACCTTAACATCAATGACCAGCTGCCACAGAAGAGTCACAAAAGAAAACTGTTTTCCTTCTTTTCTTAAAGATCTTTCTAGGTTTACTTTAGAACCTCTTTTTTTTTTGCCAGTTAAAAAGCATGAAATTCTATCATCCTTTAGCTCTGGTATTATCTGGTAAAATGTCGACAGCATAGCACTGTTAAGAGTTCAGTTAAGTGTGCTTAACAAAAATACCTTTTGTCCATGCTGTTAAGCCTATGTATAATACTTAATATTCAAAGCATTTTAAAAAAGCCTACCTCGTTCTCCATGAACCCACACGCTCGAAAAGTCGCCTATTTAACGGCAACCACGCAGCCTGGTCACAGATGCTGCTACGCTCGCACTGTGGGAACTAGTCACCTGTTGTCTCAACTCACACACACTGACAGCTGCCAACTGATGACAGACGTACAGGATCAAACACAGCCCAAGTGTGTATGCAAGGGGTGTGACCCCCATACAGAGGAAGGAAAGTGTCTCTGTCTCTATACTCAGGCACAAGAACAGGAAGGGGACTTGCCACAACTTCCTGCGATGACACGCGCCTTCGAGTTCTCAACTTTGAATATGGAAACAAGTCAAAAACGACAGCAGACTTCTCAAGTTGTCTTGAAAGAATGCTTCATAGATGTCAAAGACAACAGGGTGGCAATCGCTTTTACTCCAGATCTTTACATTTTATTGTGGTGTGATGATTGCTGCCTTCCATCACTCACTCAGGACTCTGCAACTGAAGCTCTGTACTTCACTGCCAAACCACAGAAATACAAGACCTTATTCTATTATGTGAACCACAGATGTCGCATCTGCAAAGCTGTTTACACTGCAGATTCAATGAGGCGAAAAGTGCAGACAATCTAATGTAGCTCTATAGGACTTATTTCCCCCTTTCAGACACAAAAGGTCAATGTAACAAACCTGCTGTACAAGCATTAAAAAGAAGAAAGAAGAGTTAACTTCATCTACATGTTTGCTAGCAATCTACAATAGGAGCACTATACTAGGGTTACTGTAGTAAGTAGTATGAGTTATATCAACTCATTCATAACAAAGTTGAGCATCCCATATAACAGCCTGGAACAGAGGTTTATGACTCTTGTGTTATGACACTGTACCCGTAATTTGGTTGTTGCCTGATGTGGTGACATTTAATCAGACTTTAGACTCCATGGAACAGCACTGCCCTAACCCTAACCTGCAAGTGCATTATTTAACAGTAAGTAGCTTGTGAAGACATGCGCATTAACATTTGATGGCTTTTCCTTGTGAAATGTGAGAGGAGAGCTACCGTAGTTGACCCCAGTGAATGTCCTCAAGATGAACAAGTGCAATTTTCCTGGTGAAAGTCTGCTTACAAAAGAACCATAAGTGAGGATACTGTATGGCGTCTTTGTGCTGTTATGGCCAGGGTAACAACAAGTGCAGGTGGCCTTTCCAACTTTCTCACACTTAAGAACAATGCAGGAAAACTTAGACAGGAGAATAGGAGGACAGAAAATCACTGCTGCTTTTATTCGGTTTTGATTTAACCATATTCAGTGTGAAACGCCAGGGTATAAGAATACCAACCAATTCCAACCCAACAAATACACACCACCTGTTGTAACCTAAGCCCTATTTGTCCACCATACATCTAAAGTTTAGTAAAACCTAAAGTAAAATGCTATCATCTTTCCCTGCCTTTCCAGATCTGAGCTGCAGCCCTTCCGTTACAAGAGGATGTTCTTCATTCTTGATTTGTTATTGTTTCTAAGATATTACCACTCCAGCTGGGCTGAAAGCGAACCAATACAATGCATGTGTGAGTCGCGCTCATCCTGCTATGTTCCTGTAAACTAATTGAGCTGATGAAATTCCTAAACTTCTCCAGAAAGAAAAATTCAATACGTCTCCCCAGAGATTCCCTGACACGTAGGACACTTTTATAAATGAGTCAGTTAGCAAAGTCAAAGTAACACTCAAACTTCTTATTATATTGAGGGGCGCTTAGCTTTCACTTGAACCTGTGTAATAATGTAATACTCTGCACAGTGAATATAAAATATACATCTGGGTCAACTGCTGTTCACTATCACCATCCAGTGGCACAAACAAGAACTGTATTGAATGGTGACGCTGATCCCCAACAGTTAAAGATCATCAACCCAGACCAGTTAGTGCTGAACCTAATCAACAACAGCACACATTTTCACCTTTTATGGCACTGACAGTTCGCAAAAAGAGGTCATAAAGCTGAAACATGAATTTGTACTGAGATTAAAACTTCAAAAAGGTATGTCCTCCCCCCCCCCAACTGTGAATATATGAGTTTTAAATATACACGAATCCAACTTTTTTGTAGTTACAACTAGGGAATGTATCTTGATGTGATAAGGTTTTTTTTTTGGGGGGAGCTTTAAAGTGATGCCTTGTCAAACCAAGAGCAGACTGGATTAACACTGCTGAGAAAAACATTTCCTTGCCACAACAAACCTTCTTAACACTGGGATATCACTTCCTTTCCTTTTCAAATTTCCCTTCACATCAAAGAGGAGGTGGAAGTAACTCTCATGTTATTTTCATGGAGACATGATGGAATGACCAGCACAACATAGCAATAGCAAATACACTATAACGTCAGAGACACTTCTTATTACACTGCCAAGGCGGTGAGAGCTTGTCAGTGTCATGTCCTGCCCTTCAGTTTCCTCCTGTGCCATATACAGAGGAACAGAGGAACCGAGGGGAGAATGTGTCTGTTCTAAGACACAGTGGGAAGAAAAGATAAAAGAAATGTCAGCTGTGTGTCTGAACATAAAGATGTGTCTCCATATCAAACGGGATCATTAGGTAGGTATGTGCTGTATGTGGGAGACAGGGGCAGTGTGGTCGGTACAACCACGGACTGCTGATTCCCTTTAGCTTGACTGACACTAATAACCCCAGCCTTTGACAGCTGATGGTGAGCACACAGATGAACAACGAGGGTTATTTCCCCGGGAAACCTGCTTTCATTACCTTTCTGTGACATTACCAGCATCACCCTGACTGGAAAAACAATAGCTCCATGAATACAACAATGGACAATAACTTCATTTAACTAACGTTTACCACAACTGAACACATTTTAAGCACGCCAAAGCAAAGTAAATATCATTCACATGTAAGCATGAGGAATACAAACATAAATCCTGAAGTGACCCGGTAACGTTTAAAACTTCACTTGTAACGCTACACTCGCTCTTTTAGGCTCAATCTGTTGCGCTCAACTTCCCTTTATTTAACCTACATTCCTTTTAAATAAGACATTTATTCCCATTTAAAGTGTCGCTGGTTGATAGAAAAGACAGGAATCTGTCAGTGTACTATTGGGAGTGCTTTTTGCTGGTGTCCGCTGATGTTTACTTGATAGTTGGCTCAACTTAGCTACCCGCTAACTCCCCTGGTCTGACTAGCTAGCAGGATAGCATGCTAGCTAGTCAACTTACAGTACAAAGTATGAAAATTGCCCGACTTACCTTTTTCACTTTTTTCACATCATCCTCCATTTCTATGTAAAGGTCCTCTTCTACATATTCAGTTCAGCGCGGAGATCCAGGTGAGACAAGACATAACTACCGAAGGTTTTAACCAGCACTCATCTGACAGTAGTTAGCCTGCTAGCCTAGCCTAGCTTAGCTTAGCTTAGCCTAACATTGGTAAAGTGATGCCCGAATTTGAGCTGATAGCAAAGCGCCATCCTGATTTTTGCCTCCTTCCGCAACCATTAGAAAAAATGCCGGTGTGCCACCAGGGTGAAAATGATATGCTCCAGTGCCGCTAGAACAACTACAGAAATAGTCTGTGAAGAAGACAAACTCGGATGAAACAGGCAAAACTTTTCAATCGTGCCGCCATTTTGGGCGTTAAACTGTGGTCCAGGTCCAGCATGCTTTGCTTTGCACAAACCAAAACAGCTGCTACTGTGTATCACAGTGATAATACCGCCGAGTGGCTACAGAGGCCAGACTGTCGGCACTGTAGTGTCACTTAACGGCCACCTTTTTAAGTCGCTAACTACAATAAAGAAGATACATTTATTCAATGACAGAGACTCACTTCAGACCAAATAATTATCTAAATACTGACAAGAATTGGCTTAATGGCGACTATACTGTAACACCTTTACTGTAAATAGGTTGTTTTGTTGTGTCATTGCTACTTCTATTGCTTTATTTATTTGTGTTATTGTGTGTTTGCTATAGGCTAATATTTACAGTATGACAACTTGTAAGACAAGTGAAACTCACTTTTTTTCCTTAAGTATGCACAGGATTTGTAAACAATAGTAGGCTATTAGCCCTTTTATTGAAGGTGTCCCAGTAAAAACTGCTACCTCTTGAACTGGCACACCTACTGTCAATGAATCACAGCTGTTACACTTGTGCTTCCCTGCTAAAATTAAAGGCTGTTCCCTGAAAAGACTCACAGTGAGGCTGTGAAAAAGCAGGTGTTTCAACATTTGTGAGGGAGGTAAGAGACAGTTTTAAGTGTCTAATTTACTATCCCTGTTTTACTAGGACAATAATGAAGACAGCAACAGAGACAGAGAAGCCGATGATACGAAAAGAGAAACCAGAGGAAACCAGTCACTCGCAAAGGTTGGCTGTCGCACATGTCCTGTGACTGTACGTGGTATTTACTCTATAATCACATCGTATTCGTCTGTCCATATTTCCCCAAACCTGTGTATAAAACAGGTGAAGGTTACTGTGTCTGCTATTTGTAACAAGTGTTTGTGATATCTTCATAAATTGTAACTGTTATATAGGTATCGGGTCTGCGTTTGTTATGTTAAAGGTCTGTGTAATACATATGGGTCTGAATGCAAGTATGATGAAATACCGGAGGATCTGCCAAAGTATTAAATTCAGTAACTTTGTGTTTAGATCTGCAGGGCCTTTTATTTTATGTACAGTATAAAACATAGGGTTCTCAGCAGATGCAACCTCTCAATATACTGTATATTTTAAAGTGATTTATATTGCATTTGCAAAATTTTCCCATCTAAGGATGACCTCAGACTCATCCTCCAGATATCCACTGGCCATAGGACTGCCCCTGCAAGTTACGAACAAACTATGCCCACCCCTCAGCATGTATATTTTAACTGTTGTTCCAGTTTGCAAAATAAATAGTGAAATGATTAGCAAAGGAATTTAATCTATTGCACCCATGTTAAAAGCCCCAAAGGAGTCAAACTACGCAGGTGTTGGCACTTCTTTCTTTAGGTATCTCACTTTCTTGTAGTTTTGTTGATGTGTGTGTGGGACAACTTAGACTTTTCTTATTCTTACTAGTGCATCGGTTTGGTGGCCTAACATACAGTAATTCCCAACATAACTTTAACCTGCAGAGGTCTAATCAAAGTAAATAAGGTTCAGGCATTTATGCATTTCATATCTTAAATATATGCTAATCACACATGTTATATTAGGACACATTCACTAAACTTTTCTCATTTAGACCAAAGTGTGTAGGCTCACATCGTACACTTCTGCAGTCCATATATTGCAGCTGCTTTCATCTGTTGAAATGTGTAGCGTGCATGTGAATACAGTACTGATATATTGCACTTTCAAATACTATATTTATTTTTCTCTTCTGGGATGAACAGTCTGATATATGAATCTACAGTAAGGCTTAACATTACATTTTCAGCATAATATTTCTCTTTTCATCTAAAAACCAAAACATACAAAAAGAACTTTAGCACCATATGTTATTAATAATATTCATATTGTTCCCAAAAATAGGACATCAGTTTTGCTTTTTTAAAGAACGGGGATTCCATGAAACAATTTACTTACATTTTATATTTAACAACAACAGAGAAATCATTCCTTATATGTTCTCAGTCACAACATAGGTTGTACGAGTACACTTTCGTAAAGATGCTACAGATTGTAGCGAATTTGCTTACTGACATTGTGCCAACTTTTGGAATACCCCGAATAAATCATATCATCTAGGGAGTATCCTGATAGATTTGTGAAATACACCAACAAGCTAACACAATCTAGAAATTGATTGAATATAAACAAAGCAATATTTCCAACAACTTTGATAACAATTTCAAAAATCAGCAGCAATTAATATGACAACCATAGTCGCTTCATTGGAATATCAAATCCATTTTAAACAAAATATTACAGCCAATTCTACAATAACAACAAAAATAGATACACACAGATTAAGGACATATAGATGACAGGAATTTACAACACAGCAATCACGTTCTATATATTTTTTTTACCCAAATTCCAGTTGCAGAAGTACATTTGTGCTCCTGTGTGTTTGCCAAAAAGATGCATTTTGTCATCTGCCAGTTTCATTCTCTCAGAGAAAAGAAAAAAAATCCTAGTGCAGATTAAAACATAGTAAAAATAAAAAACATACTGTATGCTGAAACCAGTATAATAAACATTATATGAAAAGTAGAGTAACGGTTGTTATTCTGTGTAGATTGGAAAATCAAAATGGCACCATTGAGAGTTGAGTTCTGCTGTAAACTGTGTGGATTTGAGATGCTAGCTCTGGAGCATTTTGGGACTGTAAGTTTGTGAGGCAACAGGCCCTTCAGTCAACTGGAAGGCTATGCTCTCAGAAAGCCAAAATGTAGACTGCAGTCCACAGTGATAGCACCTTTTAAATGTATTTATTCAGCACCAGGTTATTAACAAAAATCAAAGAATTATCCAAAGTAAACTGAAAAAAATGCACCGTTTTATCATCTGAACATACTGCTCCAATGGTCAAATAGATGGTCGTGACACAAAGGTACAGACTTAAACCAAGTCAAACACTACAATGACCTGCTGCTACACATTTATGCAGAAATCAGAGAGTTTGTTGTGCAGTCGAGAGCACTTACATGCTAAATGTTGAGGGTCACCTCACAATGAGTTCTAAAGGCATGCTGGGAGTCGGTGGGAAAACAAGGAAACGCGGTTATTCAAAAATTGAATCCGTGATCGGGCCTGTTTCATCATTCCATTGTAAGAAAATGCAACATAAGTGATTTTTTTGCGCATTTTGTCATCATTGACTTCTTCCATGTTTTATTCCAACTGCAGGCATTATTGTTTTGGCTAGAGGATGTATTGTTCACACGAGACAAACGACACAGAGAGAGTTTACGTCTTGGCACTACAAATCATTCATCATTGCAAGACAGAAAAAAGATGTAAAGGCATAGACAAAAGTACAAAACAATCATTGACCAAATCAACTGGGGGTGCTGTGATTCAGCTTACTCAAACATAATAAAGATGAGGAACCCTACGTTCAAGTACGGAAGTTGTTCAGTATTGCCTTACTTTTTCTCCTGTGTCTTTGACAGAACCAACAACTGAGTTTCACACTGTACCCATCACTTGGTTCTGTCAATGTGAAGTTCAGTTGTAACACTGTAACTAGTACACTGTAACAGGACAGTCCTGTGGATGACAACTTGGATGAAACTGTAAGACTAAGTAGCGTTGTCGACTGAGGTGTGAGCTGACAGAATTGAGAACTTGGCTTGATCTGGTTTTGGGAGACAGACAAGGGAGAATATTGTTTGGTGTCGTCATCATATTGGTGAGTGTGCTGGCACATGAAACAAGTAAAGAAAGACATTGGCATTGTTGTTTGCGGACCTGGCTGCCATGGCTGGATTGAAGCACCCAAAGTAACAAGGCACAACAAGGACTGAGAAGAACAAGCTTGCTGTTCAAACGCTCTTGCTGTGTGTTGTGGCTGTCGAGGGATGTGGAGTTGGGCAGGTAACCTGACAGAAACAATTCTCTGTAGGGGATTTCTTTGTGACCTTGTTTATGTTATAAAGTGTGGCAGCCTGAATACTATACAGTACAGTATAGAAACAGCTTCCACTTGCACTCTTGTGTAGCTTAGCTCTTGAAACCCGTGTATAATTTAAACAAGAAAAATATATAAAACTAAAACCCACTTATTAACCAGCTTTTAGCTAATCATTTTCACTAAATACAGAATGTGGCAAAATGGTGATTGTTCTGTAGAAATACGTAAAATATATTTCATAAAAATCCAGACTTGTACATAGAGACTCTTTGTAGACTTAATTAAAATCAATTAGTTTAATTAACTGCCATTACTACTATTCTAATGACACAGTTAAGCAAGCATAAATACTCTGCGTTTTATGACATGAAGCACCACGATGAAATGCAGCCCAGTTGTACATAATCTTGTCTATGATGCTATATAATACCGTCATTCTACCCACACACGCACACACGCACACACACACACACACACACACACACACACACACACACACACACACACACACACCCACCCACCCACACCCACTCAAATGAATGAATCACAGTGTATTTGCACCTGATTTGGACATGTGTCCACGTCTGGAAAAGGTCAGCAGTGTTTGGAAAGGATGCACCGTATGCCAGGCAGCCAACTACCACAAAAAACTGCCCCTACCCACCCCCAACCCCAATAATAAGAATGAGTAATCATTCCGAAGAAAACAAAAATGTGCAAACCATAATTTAGTGGTGCGATCCCAGCCGCGGAGTGGTCCAGGATGCAATATGTTAAGGAAAAAATGGAGACCCTTGAGGACATGCCTGGGGATGAGAACTGCATTGAGACACCCCTGAGTCAGCTGGTTCAGTGGTCTTGTTTGTTGGTCCTGAGGAACCCCTGTATTGGCTGTTTTGCTTAGGTTTTTTTTTTTTTTTGATTAACAATACTTATTCATTATTCATTCACTGACTAACTATTAACATGGCTGTTCATTCACTACAACAGAGAGGGACTACTCTGGCTACTATGGTAAACAATGAACAAGTTGGTTGTTTGCATACTCATGTATTATCTATACATATGGTGAGTTGGATGTT